AGTAGACAATTAACTAGTTATAGGGAATGCACTTTACACCAAGGGCACTGATGATCAAGTACAAAAGACTTAACTTTTGTATTAACTAAATTATGATTCTTGCTCAATATATTCCTCCATGCTTGTCCACCGTGCTTTCAGTGACTCGTCATGTCTTAATATCACACTGTAGTTGGCACATAAGTTAATTGATAATTAGAGTAATGTGATTACTTATTATTGTTGGGCAGAGATAAATATGTTAATGTTTATGGGTATCATTTCTGGAAACCCTCACGAGGCTATACTCATCCACTTGGGGTAACCTTGTGGTTTAAAAGCTTGTTGCATATGCTAAAAGCAATTGTGATACCTACGAAAGTGGCTTAGAGTATTTTCTTTTTCTTATTTCTATTGTTTTGCTTGATGACTAGCAAAATGTAAGTTAGGGGATGTGATATAGGTCGAAAGGTACCGCATTGAAGCCACTTAAGTTACATGTATAGTCTTTGAATTTTATTTATTTAGTGGAGATGATGTGTTTTGTGCACTTGTACGGATTTGGTAGACAATACGCAAATTCAAACAAAAAATGGTGCAAAAGCTGATTCTCCCGTGCGAGTAGTAGAAATTCTTGGCCTACCATCTCACCACACGTGCGGCCAAGCTCTACCGCACATGCAGCCCACTTAGGGTTGCGTGCCCGAAAATTGAAGTCTATTTAGCTGGGAATAAAAAGAAAAAAAGAGGTTGTTTTTTGAGTTCGAAAATATTTCAGAGAAAATGGAAGGCTAGGGTTTGAAGAAAGGGAATTCTCAAGCTTCAAGGACAATTTCCATGGAGGGTTCTTCTTCTACTTCTTCTCACATCTCAGTGAGTGTCTAGGCTCCTCTTTCTAGGGTTTTGATGAAACCCTAGCCAGGTAAATAAATTTTCTTTTTGATTTTTTTTTTTATGTAATGGTTTGAACAGTTGTATGATTCTCAATAAGTGTTCTAATATAATTTTCCATTATTTCTTTGAGTATTCGGCTTTCTGTGATTGTAGAATGCTTTCCATACAATGGTTTTCTGTTCTTTAATGTTCAAGGTATGAGACGAGCCACACTACAAGGGACGAGTCGTGTTGCTACCCTAGTTTAGAGCGAATGACTCGTACTATTTAAGATGGTTCGTGTCTATACATTAAATGTGTTAATTTCCTTAATCAATACTTTGAACTTGTAGTTGCGAAGTATTATTTGGTTCGAACCGTAACATAATTGATTTTCAAATTGAAACCGTGTTTATGTAACTAGTGGTGGATTCATTACCCTAGGTTTTTTCCAAAATCGGTAAATTCATATTTATTTATAATTGCTAGTTTATTCGCTTTGTTTAATTTAATTATCATTAGGTTATGAACAACCATCTTTTTCATCAAAATTAATTTAGGAATTTAACAATTAAATTAGTTTAATTTCTCGTTTGTCCCTGTGGATCGATATCTGGACTTACCGTTATTCTAAGGAATTTGGCATACTTTAGTGTTTATTTTTTGTGTGTGAAACGACCCATCAGGCCCACCACTATATATTATTTTTTTAGGCAATTGTATATAATATATTTTGGAGAATCTGTGTTATTATTTTTGGAGACTAATTTGAATATTTGAGATTACTAGTTATTTGACATTGTGAATTTGAACTTTATGTAATTTGCTAACGACTCAGATTTGGGGTGTTACATAGAAAAAACTACACTTAATGTACTTTTAATACCCCACCAACCTCTAAACATCTCTGCCATCGTCGATGACCACCTTTGATTGTCACCATCAATGACCAATGACAATGGTTGTTGGCGGTCATTTTTCGGTGACTCTCCAACGAACACTAACGATGTGAATTTTTCATTTCATCAAAAAGTCACTGGAAATTGTAATTATGACAGAAAAATTTTAATATAATAATGAAATTTCTCTAACTTTTTGCAATTTCAGTAAATTTAGTCAGTGAAATTATCTCACAAATTCTACTGAATTGTAAAAAGTTAAAGAAATTTCACTAACCAAATCTAATGAAATTGAAGAAAAAAAAATTATTGATGAACTCTACTCAAAATGCATAAAAGTTAGAGAAATTTCATTGACTAAATATATTAAAATTGTAAAAAAATTGAGCAATTTATCTGACTGATTTCATTTGAATTTAAAAAAAAATAAATATTTTTACATCATTACAGCAAACAAAGTCTACTAAACAAAAATCAAATAGAAGAAAGGGAGAGAAACAAAAGGAGAAAAAAAAATGGCAAGTAGGGTTGATGGCGGCGAGGTGATAGATATGTGAATGGTGGTTGCGAACAATGAACAAATGTTTAGATTTTGACAATGGTTACAAACAATGCCAACACAGTTCAAATCTATAGGATTATTACAAGCGACAGGGATTGTATGGAGCCTTGAGAATAACGGTAGCTTTAGAAATATATGTGGTTGAAGGCAGCAACGACAATGTAGGTGGATTCGTTTGAAGAAGGCAACAATAGTGGAGATGAATGCGGTTGAAGGTGGTGCGTGACAGTGAACGGTGGTTATTATTTAAGCAATCGTCCATTGTAGAGAAAAAAATAGAGAGATAGCATAAAATAAAAACATATAGAGAGAGAGCGTGAGAGAAAAATCTTGAAGAGAGAGATTGGGAAAAGAAATATAGTAGGAAAATTGGAATTATAAGTCATAAGGTCATTTTTGACTATTTATGTTCAAACTTTTTCTAATCTTTTTAGAATTGGAATATTTTAACTAGCAATTAAATTTTTAATGTCCTTAAACTCTTACATAAATATTAGAGGGATCTTTACCTAATTTTTCCTAAACTTAAAGGGGAAAAATTATTGATAGAAAAAGAAAAAAATTGACTAGTAGTCTAGAGGGAGAGGGTGTATTAATTAAAATATTTAACGAGAGAAAGATGAAGAGTAAAAGAAAGAAAAAAATATAAAAAAATAAAAAATAATAATGACAAATTTTTATTTCTATAAAAAAATTATTTTCTATACATGACAAGTTCTAATTTTTTTGTCATTATTATTTTTTTCTATATATAATTTTTTGTCGTTATTTAGAAAAAGGTAGTATTATAAATTTTTGTTAATAGAGAAAATTTGAAAAAAATCCACTCTAGTAATTGTCTAAGGCATTAAGTTCAATATTTTTTTTTTGATAAGAGGTCTACGCTTTGTAAAATAGTTTGGTGAGAAGTCTTGGAGAAAATTTTGTTTTCAATTTTATCCCGTGACTTTTTTTATCTGCTTGACTTTTCGTTGACTCTTTGTTCAAATTTATATCTATCTGTTAAATTTGTTGATCTGTTCAAATTATTTTCTATTTGTTTAAATTTTTTGTCTATTGGTTCAAATTTATATTTATTTGTTCAAATTTTTTGTCTGTCTATTTAATTTTTTTAACCTAACTATTAAATTTTTATAATTTATTTTTTTCTAGCTGTTCAAATTCACACTATTTTCAAACTTTATCTTTCTATCTGTTTTTTTTTCTTCTCTTTTCTCTCTCAATTTTTTGAATTTTTTGAATCTATCTATTAAAATTTTAATCTATTTGTTAAATTTAAGCTTATTTTTAATCTATTTGATCTATCTATTAAAATTTTAATCTATTTGTTAAATTTAAGCTTATTTTTAATCTATTTGTTCAAATTTTGATCCTATCTATTCAATTTTTCGATTTTATCTGTTTAAATTTTGATCATATATTTTGATCTGTTTAATGTTTTGACCTATTTGTTCAATTTTTGTATTAAACACAATATTATCTATTCTACTTTAGATCAAATACAACATTTTATGTCCAAAACACAATAGATAGACACACACAGAGATAGCCAACAACAACAACAATAACAACAACCACAATAATCAACAACAAAAAAACATTACCAAAAAAAAAAAAACACAACATTAGGCCTAGTTTGGTGCACTTTGTTTTGTTTTATTTTATTTTAATTTGATGGTTAAAAAATGGAAATTAAAAAATCAATAATCAACTTATATGAGTTAGTTTTATCTAATAAGTAAAAATTAATAAACTTTCAAAATAAAAAGTTAACAAGCATTAGGGTTTAGGTGCCATGGTACTATCGGCTGGAGGTGTCAATCGGCGGTTTTCGATAGTTTCATTGCTCGAAAGAGTTGTAACTCGTTGAAAACTCCATGGAAATCTTTGGAGAGAGAGAGAGAGAGAGGGTTTTACATATAAAAATAGAGTAGAAAAAAAAAGTTTGTTAGAGGACACAATGGAGAGAGAGAGTGGTTGATTGGCGGTCGTCAATCTAAGATATGGATCTAAGATCTCATAACTGAATCGGCGGCGGTGGTGGTTATAGAGGAGGTTGCGGCTAGGGTTTTGGTGAAGGAAGAGAGAGAGAGGGGGATGAGGAAGGCGATGAAGTGTTTGCTAGAGTCTGAATTGTGAAAGTAGCAAAGGTCGACGGTGATCAGGGTCGATACTAGGTGTGTTGGTGATGGTGAGGTCAGAGAAGGATGAGAGGAAAAAGTGAGAGATAGAGAGGTTGAAAAATTAAGCTAGAGACTCAAAATAATTTATTAAATTTTTTATCAAATTTTTTCATGGGTGTGAGATCCATACACATGTGGATTTGTGTGAGTTCTATACCCATGTGAGAGGATTGATAGATTATTTAGGGATCATAGCATTTTTCTAGTTGAAGTGGAGTTGAATGGGAGAGAGAGAGGAAGAGGTATATATATAATATGGATGTTTTGATTATTTTGTGAGAGTTTATCTTTATAAAAATAAAAATAAAATAAACACCTAAAATGAAAAAATAATTTTAAATTTTGGGCCCCAGTGTTTTTTTAATAAACTGATGTGGTAGCTAATAATCTGCCATTCGCTAATAAAAAAACTAATAATCTGATCTGCCATTGGATGCCACACGTCAATTTATTGAAAAAAAAAAAACTATCGTTACATTTATACATTTACATTATTGTATACATTCATTAATGGGAAATACAACATACATAACATTCATTCACACTCACACCATTGGCTACAATCTTAGAAAAAAAAAAACTCCATCGTTCGGCTTCGCACTCGACCTACCTTCGATCTCTCAGAACACTCACACCATTGGCTTCCGATACAAACCCTCCCGACAGGTATTCATTCAATCACTGTTTATATATGTAGAGATTGTATGATACAAAAGTAGAGTTTGTCGAGCTTCAATTGCTATTTTCTCTTTATGCTTCTCTCACTTGATCTTCTATATTTGTGTATCTCTATCTAGATTTTTGATGGAGCGGTTAACAGATCTAACCATCAGTATGTTGATTTCTTCGAATTTCAGATCGAACTCGGCCCGAGAAGGGTAAATTGATCAGAAAACAGCCGGAATCTGGCCGGAAGATTCTGGTTTTGACTGTTGTTTCGGCGGTTTTCTGTCACAAACACGGATTTCAGGTGAGTTCAATTTGAGTTTTTTCTTCTTTGAAAATGATTATCACACACAAATCTATATGGGTATTTGTGAGATTTAAATTTGGATGTTGTCTGATAAATTGTCTTGTTTTACTTTCCCTCACTTTGCTAAATTGACCGCGATTGAATTTATTTTTTTTCTTCTTTTGATGGTATGTAGATTTGGATTGTCTGGGTTGTTATTGTTGGTATCTCGCCGAGTAGATTCAGGGACTGATTGAAGATCTGGACTTTAATTTCATTTTGATTTTAGTTATCCATGTCGGCTCCCGGGGGTTATAGACCGGGCAATGCCCCACCTAATTACAACCCTAGTTCTCTTGCTGATGGGTTTCAAAACCTCCAAATAAATCGACCTGTTGGGCCACCGACATCAATGCCCAATTCTGCTGGCCCTAGGCCTCCTCCCCCTTTTGGACAGCAACCCCCGCCTTTCTATTCAGCTCCGCCTTCAGCCTCATTTCCGGGGGCATCTCCAATGACCCGTCCTGGTCCCCCGCCCGGTGTCCTTTCAAGGCCTTCAGTCCCTCCTGGTGGTCCACCACAAGCCACATTGCCCTCAAATTTAGCTTCTAATAGACCCTCTGTTCCTCCTCCTGGTACTCAGCCTTCTATGCCTTTTGGGTCAAGGCCTCCACCTCCTGGATCTTTGCCTTCTGCCATGAGCAGTTCTGGTGCGCCTCCTGGCGCTTTCCCATCTTTGGGGCAAGTGGCACCACCTCCAGGTTCGCGTCCTTTTGGATCTTCCCCTTTGACAACAGAACCAGTTTTACCACCATCAAGCTATTCCGGCTCTATTAGTAATGGACCTCCGGCGTTTGGATCAGCTGCATTGCAAGGTGTTCCCCGCTTTCCTTCAGGTGGAAGCCCACCACCACCACAGGTTGGACCTGCAGCATCTACAACTTTTTTAGGTAGGGGACCTCCCCCTGCTCCAAGCATGCGTTCTATCCTTGGAAGTCCACCTACCAGTGCAATGCCAGGTCATATGCAACCACCTGCACCATTTTCAGCAACACCACAAGGTATGCCACCCCCCTCAGGCCCCTCACCATTTGCAGCACCATCTCAAGGTGTATCTCCACATTCAGGTTCTCCATATGGTCCACCAGCATGGTCAATGCAAGCCCGACAGGTGAGCTTTCAAATGCCTTTTATTTTTGTCCTTTTCGAATTACTCATTTGATATGTATTGTTGTACTGAGAATCCTAGTGTGGTTAAGGTGATCGATGAAGTATTTTGTGCACTGAGCAGTTACTTTTGGGTTGGAATCAAATTTATTTTTTCAGCTGTCTCTTCATTTTTTGTAAATGAATTAATGAAGGGTATTTGGTTTGCTTTGCTTTGCTTTGCTTTGATCTCAAAAGACTTTCAGTTTACTCTGTTCCTGAACACATTCAAAGTTTAAACAGGAAGGTTTTAGATAGTATTTGACAACCTGGATAATCAAATGAGAATATAGGGTTTATTCTGCTGTCCATTTTGTTTTAATTAAAAAACACCTTCCATCAAATATAGACAAAAAATGGATGATGCTATTTATCCTAACACATGCATCTTTGTTTTTCAAATAAGTAAATTGGAAAAGGAAGAAGGAACATTAACATTCTTGTTACTAGTATTTTAGAACTTGGACAGGGAGGAATTGGAAAGCATTGTTGAGGTGAAGTTTGAAAGAAGGTGAGAGGAATGGTGGCCTTGTTTTATGAGACAAGAGAGTGTAGATGCCCTTGTACACTTTGTTTGTAGTCTTGATCCTCTGATGGTAATAGGAATTTTAGGCCTAAGGGGTGTAGAAATTATAGGCCCAGTTGTTGGTTTTATAGTTGAATGAAGTGTTAACTAAGGTGTCTTAAGAGTTTAGAATGCTTTTGTCAAAGTAGACAGAGTCTAATGGGAATTTGAATTTTTGATTGGGGAGTGGGATTAGTGGTTTTTCTATAAATTGGATAAAAAGCATTCATGAGAATTTAACCACCTAAATTGGGACTTCCTTCTGTACTTGGTAGAGAGGATGTGCTTTATGGGGGACAAGTGATAGATATGAATTTTGATTTGTATCTGGAAGACGAGGCTCACGGTTTTAGTTATTGGCTATTTAGCATTCTCCCCAAAAAGAAAAACTTAGGGGAGTGTTCTAGGAAGACTTGGATTAAATTTATTTATTTATTTCTTATGCTTATGGAGGCATTAAGTGGGATAATGGGTAGGTTGATGTAGGGAGGTTTTATGGTGAGCTTTCAAGTTAGGCAGGTGGATGGCTCCCTTTGTATGTGTTATTCCGATGAAACCATCATATTCAACGGGACGAATAAAAAGTATTTCTTTAGTGTGTTTGCTTTGTTTCAAGGTTGTTTTTGTTTTGAAGGTGGAGATTAATGATGGTTAGTGCTTTGTCTTTGGAGTTAGGCACATGGGCAATATTGAGGCATTCTTTGTATGTTTAGCCAGTTGAGCACATTCTCCATTTCCATATTGTTTTGACTCTCCATTTGGAACCTGATGCATTCATGCCAGCTTGGTTGAAAGTAGGTCAAAGGGAGATCCTTGAGTTTGGTGTGTGTTTAGCATGTAGCCTTAAATCTATCATTGTGATCTTGATAGCATGTACACCTCTCCCATACCTATGCATCAATGCTGGACATGTCTAGGACAAAGGCGTGCTCCAGACATGCGTCGGAATGTGGAAAGTGTTCAGAAATTATTTTGAGTTTCGGACTGTTGGGACTTTAAGGACACATGGAAGAAACCTTAAGAACACATATATATTTTTTTCAAAATATTAGAAATAAAAACTTAATACTTAAGAAAAGAAGATAGGAAGAATAAGATATCACCAGACAATCATTATCTAAAAAAAGTAAAATATTAAGAATTGTGAGTAAGATGAAACTAGAGCTGTTATCTCTCACGTTCATGACATTTGATGACCTTTATCGTCTTCCAATGACCCCCAATAATTGTCGCTTAGATACTTATTATTATGCGAAACTATGAAGCACAGACATTTGATCATGTATGAGTGTCCAACACGTCTGGAGCAATCTTTTTTGGTTTGTGTATGGATGTTTTGTGGTGTTGTTGGCAAATTTGTGGATGGACCGTCATTTGATTATATGTGTCAAATGGTGGAATTATAGAATTTTGAATGATGATTAGATGAAAGAAGCCATGAATGCTTAGTTCTTGAATTTTTGTTTAGTGATTCTGTTTCAATATCTTGATAATATTATTGATATTTGCGGTTTATTTATCCTTTATTTGATTAAATAATGTTTTTTTATATGGATTTACAATATATACATATAAATTTAGACATTTAATACATGTCCCCAATGTGTCATTGTTCTAATTTTAAAAAAAATGTCGTGATTGTGTGTCCATGTCATGCCTGTCCGTTTCCGTGCTTCTTAGACTGAGTTGTTGGCTGGATCCTTGGGTTCATGTTGCTAGATTAAGGTGTATTCAGAGAAATGTTGTGTCTACGTGTCCATATCCGTGTCTCCCCTTATTGAACTGTATTTATTTTTGCTTGGTTCTGTTGGCTTGATTAACATTTCTTCCTTGCAATGCATGACAAACAGTTTATGTAGATATTAAATGAGGTTTTATAGAGTTTCCTGTGCACTTGTACTTTGAATCTGGAATTTGAATTTAATCATTTGTTTAGATGGCTCCACCTCCATCTGTTCCTGGTTCTGCACAACCACCCAGAATGTTCGGGATGCCACCACAACCTCCAAATCAATCTATGGCTACTATATCGCCTGCTATGGGTCATATGGGAGCATCTATGGCAGGCCCATCGAAGATCGATCCCAACCAAATCCCCCGCCCCATACCAAGTTCCTCAGTGATTCTGCACGACACTCGTCAGGGCAATCAGGCCAACCTCCCTCCGGTATTTATTTGACTCCTAACCTGAAAAAGAATGAAATAATCTGTTTCAATTTAAGATATGTTACTTTTAGTTCTAACTTTGCCGTTTTATCTATTTAATTATTTTTCTTCGTCATCATTCCCCCCTCCTTTTAGTTTACAATTTTGTTTCTATTGTTTCTCGTGCATATTCATGGAACAATGTGATGCATTATGATTACTTGTTTGACGGTTTGCATTTTGTTTCATTTCTTTGGAAGCCTGCCACAAGTGATTATATTGTCAAGGACACTGGCAATTGCAGTCCACGGTACTTGAGGTGTACTATCAATCAGGTCATAATCAAATATCTAAAATCAATGTACTTTATTGTTTGTCTTTGTTATGTACAGCCTCTTTTCTTTTTTAATTTTCTCCTCTTATGTGTGTGTGTATCTGTGTATGTGGGTGTGAGGCTGAAAATTGTTATTTCAGTCCCAAACCATTGGTTGCGTATTTTACCAGAGTTTATATTTGCTACTTAAATTGGTTTCTTCTGTCTTTTCAACAGATCCCATGCACTGTTGATCTTTTGACAACGTCTGGAATGCAGTTGGCTTTGATGGTCCAACCCCTGGCCCTTCCTCATCCATCTGAGGAGGCCATTCAAGTAATGATTTGATTTATTTTTTGTTTGATCTTTCTATTTATATTTTGTATTGGTAAATGGATCCATTTTTCTTGTTTATTTATTTTTTCTTGTTCTCTCTTTCCTTCTTTAATATTGGACAAAAGATGTTTATTCATTTGTTAACTAGTGAATTGTGATATTTGAAACCTTTAGCAAGATTAAGCATGAGCTTAAATGTTGTAGTTACTACTGCATGCTCATTGCAGTCCTGTCCTGTTTTAAGAGGGTTTTCTTTTTTCAAGCAGTTTGGCTCATCAAATGCAAGGATTCTGAATTTTCATCTTTTCATTGACTTATTTTTGTATGTATTATAGAAATGGTTCTAGAAAGCAGTTGATACCAGTACATAGTGTGTTCATAATGGTATAACTAAGTCTAGCTACTGCTACATAGAGATTGGAGCTGATTTTGCAGCTGTATTGGCTGTAATGATCTGTTACAGTGTCATAATCGCCTTTTTGGGCCATTACAGCCTGTTACAACATGAAAATTTACTAGGCAGCTGCAAATAATTGCTTGACCTCATTTTCATTTTTTTTAATTCTTTTTTCACATATTCTTCTATTTAATATTTAGGAACCTTGCCTTCCGAATCAGATTTACACTTTCAAAGATCAGGATAATAATGAATAGATTCAAGTTTCATATTGAAGAAGTCAAAACTTCACATTTCTTTGTCAGAACCTTGATAGTATCTTATTTAATTACACTGTATTTGGAAAATTAGTCCGGAATAGCTGTGATTGAAATCAGCAATGGTTGGTAGTTATGAAATTATGGGGTGGTTTGGGATGATCTAAGAAAGTGTGCTTTTTGACTTTTTATGAAATATGGGTTGGGTATGGGTTGGGTTTGAAGTGATGTGGTAGAAAGGCGATGTGACTTAAATAAAATGACGTGACTTAAATAGGATAGTGACTTTTTAACTTTTTGGCTTTTTTAGGTTATGTCAAACAAAGCCTATAATTAACAATGCCTTAGAAGCTACTATAAAATTCAAAATCCTGACAAAACATGTCTTCAGTTATTGTTAGATTCACAAAAATCTTAAAAACTTAAATTTGGTACACTGAAACATGCATATGAGTTTGGTTATGTTTTTCCAGTGCCATTTATCCAACAAAAAAAAAAAGAAAAAAAAGTTATGTCTTTCCAGTGCCATTCAAATTTTCAAATATGGGTTTGGTATGGGTTGGGTTTGAAGTGATGTGGTAGAAAGGTGATGTGACTTAAATAAAATGACGTGACTTAAATAGGATAGTGACTTTTTAACTTTTTGGCTTTTTTAGGTTATGTCAAACAAAGCCTATAATTAACAATGCCTTAGAAGCTACTATAAAATTCAAAATCCTGACAAAACATGTCTTCATTTATTGTTAGATTCACAAAAATCCTAAAAACTTAAATTTGGTACACTGAAACATGTATATGAGTTTGGTTATGTTTTTCCAGTGCCATTTATCCAACAAAAAAAAAAAGGAAAAAAAGTTATGTCTTTCCAGTGCGATTCAAATTTTCATCTCTGTTGTTGCTGCCAAACCGGCCACATGCCACGTGCCCCCGCTTTATTCTTGTTCAGCTTGCCACGTGTCGCAGACTGCCATGTGTTGTGCAATCTCCACTGCAATTCAAGTCTGTGGCTGACAACTTCATTGCAAGGGACAACAACCCTCCACGCATGGTTTACATCTACTAGTACCAAAACTGAACTATGTGCTCTATGCTGGTGAATCTCACTCACCTTCAATAACAGACTTTTGTCTGCCATTTTTACATGCGCGCAAACTGAAGCTTTACATTTTCTATTTTCATCTGAAACAGCTTGATTTCTGCACAATGAATCAACGTCTACTGCGGGAACTTCCTTTGCACCCTCTACAGCAGTGCTTACACTTTGATTCTCTGCCTCACAGACCCTCGGGGTCAACTGAAGGTTCTGCCTATTCATAAATAACATACTCCTATTCGGCGTAGACTACAATCGATTTTGGTTGCCTGCACTTCTCAGTGAGAGATTACAAGCAAGAATATTCTTCTTCACTTGTGCAATTTTGCTCTTCAAATTGAGCAATTTTCTGAGCTTGTTCCATAGTGCAATCTTCTGAGCTTGTTCCATAGTGCAATCTGGAAAGTCCTCCCCAATTTCACACAATCTTGCACTACTCGGAGAATCACCCCCATCAGCCAAAGCAAACACTAATTCAGGACACTCTGCTCCGTTTGAAAACTTTCCATACAAACCTGAGTCAACATCATTTCTTGGATAGCAGAGATGAACCACACCCAATAAAAGATTTTCAATTTCGATTTTACTGTCGGCTTCTTTGATTTAGTTTTCTTCCCCATGAATTCAATGGAATTTGAGATAAACTCTAGAGCACATAGAGAGCACATAGCCATCCTTTCGTTCGATTTTATGGACCTACATGTGTACACACAGACATCGGTGTAGATTACTTGTTTTTGGGTTTGCCACTTTGGTTTTCCTAAATTTATTAATCATTTTTCATCTAGTAATTAAACCAAACCAAACCAAACCAAACCAAACCAAACCAAGTCAAGCTTTAAGTCACATAAAATGGGGTCAGCCACATAAATCATTCTTTTCAACTTGACTCTATAAACGGCCATTTGGTTAGTCAAATTAAGGAGATCCATATCTCTATTTATTACACTAGTCCACGCCAATCTAGATTTGCTCCTTCCCCTAACACTTCCATTTAACGTCACGATATCGCATATTTTAACTACTATCTCTATTGGTCTCTATTGTATATGCCCAAACCATTTCAATTTATTCTCTCGGTCAACTTATCTTCTAGGTACTAGTACTACTCCTACCCATTTACGAATACTCATTCCTAACTTTATCTTTTCTAGTTTTGCCATACATCTACCTTAGCATCCTTATCTCAGCAACACTCATCTTATCTATATGTTATTTCTTAGTTGCCTAACATTTCATCTCATACAACATCGCTAATCTAATAGCTGTTCTATAGAATTTTCCTTTTAGTCTAGTGGGTACTCGTTTATCGCACAGTATCCCAGACACACTCTTCCATCGATCCTAAATAACCAAAATGTTCACTCTTAGGTAGTTCTTAGTTCTTAATCTTCATTTCTCCTTTGCCTCCATTGTTATTGTTCCTAAAATTACACTCTATGTACTTAGTCTTAGTTTTGTTTATCCTAAATCCTTTAGATTCTAGTGCTTTTCTCCAAATCTCCAACTTAGTGTTAAGTCATTCTCTAGTCTCATCCACTAATACGATCTCATTTGCAAAAAATATATACTATGGCACATCATTTTGAATATTTCTCGTCAACTTATCCATAACTAAAACAAAAAGATAAGGACTTAAGGTTGATTTTTAGTATAACCTCATAGTAATTGAAAATTCACTTGTCTTTCCAGCAAGCGATCTAATAGAGGTCACCACACTTTCATACATGTCCCTAATCACATCAATGTAACCTTTTGTCACCACTTTCTTCTTTAACACCCTTATCATATGTTTTTTCAAGATCGATAAAAACCATATGAATGTCTCTTTTCTTTTCTCTATACTTTTCTATTACTCTCCTCAAAAGATAAATCACTTCCATTGTTAACCTACCCAACATAAATCCAAATTAATTCTCTTACATCTTTGTTATATCTTGCAATCAACGTTCAATCATTCTCTCCCACACTTTCATTTAATGGCACATTAGCTTGATTCCTCTATAGTTGTTGCAGTTCTATACATCTCCTTTGTTTTTAAATATTGGCACTAAAATACTCTTTCTTCACTTCTCTGGCATTTTCTTAGTCAACAAAATCTTACTAAATAACCTAGTTAACCAAGCAACTCTCTTCTTACCCAAACATTTCCAAGCTTCAATAGGGATATCATCGTGTCCTAAAGTCTTATTCGATTTCATCTTCTTAAGTGCAATATCCACTTCAAAGTTCCTAATCCTGCGATAGAACCTGTAATCTTTGTTTTCCTTATTACTGGCTATTTCCTCCCTTTTTGACCTTCTTCCATGTTCCTCATTTAACAACTTTTCAAAATAGTTCTTTCATTTCTCCTTAATCTTTTCATCCTTCACCAATATTTTAGAGTCCTCACTCTTGATGCACTTAACCTGATTAAAATTTCTTATTTTCCTTTCTCTTATCTTAGTAAGTTTGTATGTTCTCTTCTCCCCTCCTTACTATCTAATCTAGTGTATAAGTCATCATAGACTGTCAACTTAGCTTCTCACACTCTTTTGTTAACCTCCTTATTTGCCAATCTATAGCTCTTCTGCCACTTTTTAAAGCACTCTTTATTTGTCTTTACTACTGTTTGAACCTCCTCCCTCCACCACCAAGTTTCCTTAGAATTGGATCCCTTTCTTTTTGATTCTCCAAGGACTTTCCTTGCGATTCTCCTCATACAATTGACTATTGAGTTCCACATAGTGTTAGCATCATCTTCTAAGTCTCAATTACATTATTTATCCATTCTAGTCTTAAATATTTTTGGTTTATCCCCTTTTAAGTCTCACCATCTCGTCTTATGATGCCCACTATTCTTCCTAGCTTGATATTGCCCAGTGTTTTTAAAGGCTCAAGGCGCACTAAGGCGCTGAAGGTCTCTCGGGGCCTAGGCGCAAGGCGAGACGCAGGCTTTATTGAAGTAAGGCGCACAGTTTTCGTAAAAAATAGAAAAATTAACATAGACTAATCATTCATAGTACTAAGACAATTTTTTACAAAATAAAAAGTAATCAAGATTCAAGACAAAATATAGAATAATTCTCAAAGCCATGAAAGTGCATATTACATAACATTCCAGTTTTCAAAGATAAAATAATCCACATTCAATAAAATAAAAATAAAAACATAAACACTAAATATCCAAAACATAAATATCCAACAAATACTAATATACGTCTTAACACTTAAAAACATCAATATCAAAAGAAAGGGTAGGTTAGGTCGGTGTCAGTCAATCATCATCCTCAACATCAATGGCAACATCTTCTTCTCCATCAGTTGATTTATATCCCTCAACATCTTCCTCCTTTGTGTCATCTGAGCCCGCTTCCTTTTCATCTATTAATTGAAGTGGAGTCAATGTTGATGATTTAGATATCCTCAGTTGTGCCTTTGAGCGTGAACTTGTTGCTTTGCATGGTTACTTTCTTCTGCTCCAGAAGCTCTAGCAACAGTGGCCCCCGTCAAGCCATCATCATCATCAAACACAGGCTCATTATCTTCATCTAATTCTCCATCCATCCTCCCAAGTAACCACTCATTGCTTTCATTAATATTTTGCAAAGATATGGGATCAAGAGTGCTGCGCATGTCATACCTAAATCTCAATGTTTTATTGTATTTGACAAACACTAAATCATTGAGACGTTGTTGTTCCAATCTATTTCTTTTCTTGCTATGAAGCTGCAAGTATTAAAAAGATATTAAATTCTATATAATGAGAATAAAAAATATTTGAATTGAACAAAAAATTAGTTAGAATGTTAAATACTCACATGTTCGAATACACTCCAATTTCGTTCACAACCCGATGAACTACATGTTAGGCTAAGGACTTTTATGGCAAAAGTTTGCAAGTTTAGAGTTTTAGAACCATATGATGCCCCACCAATCAGCTGCGATAATCCACTAGTTAGAAATAACTGTTACCAAGTATTGAGTTTTACTAAAAGTATTACTAAAAATAAATTCTATGAGTCTATAATATATTACCTGGTGCTCTTGTATTTCTTTTTCTAATCGCAACAGACTTGCCAAAAAGACTCTCAGCCTTCATATAAATACTCATCTCATTAGTGATCAAATCTTGAACAGTGACATCCGGGACCAACCTTTGCATGCATTCATAAAACCCATTCATCACTTCATGATCTTTTTACACCTCTAACGCTTTTGGGTAAAAGAATTCTGGGTTAAGAAAATGCGCAGCTGCATGTAAAGGCCGATGCAATTGGACATCCCATCTTTTGTCGATGATTTCAAAGATTTCATTATACTTCTCTTCTTTATGATCAAATGAACTTGCAATGCATTCTTTTGCCCTATCCATTGCCTCATAAATGTATCCCATGGGAGGTTTCTTCTCAGTATCAACCAATCTAAGCACTTTGACAAGAGGACTTGAGATCTTAAGGGCAAACACAACAGTATTCCAAAATGAAGGCATCAACAAAGTTTGTGCCATTCTTTTACCATGTGGCTCCTTTGCCCATTTGCTTAAGATTCAGTCTTCGGAGGTGACCATCTTTCTCAATTTTTTTTTTGTTGATGCATCCTAGACAAAGTCAAAAAAGGCGGTTGCAAATTTAATTTTTGCAGGCTTGATCAAATTCTTCAAATTTGTATAGCGCCTCATCATGTTTAGTAACGTAGGTCGATTGTAAATGTAGCCATGTACTGCAATGCCTCTTTCAAATGTCTTTTTCAGTCTAGGTATCGTGAAAATGTCTTCTAACATCAAGTCCAAACAATGAACAACACATGGTGTCCAATTCAAGTGTTCATACTTAGCTTCCAAAAAACCTCCCTATAATGTAACAATAACGAAAAATTATTATTTTCAAGTTTTTAAATTTTAAATACAAAACAAACTTTGAGTAAACAATTTTGATGTAAGGAATGAAGAAATATTCTTACCCGCCAACACATTAGCTGCAGCACTATCAGTGATAACTTGCACTACATTCTCTTTTTCAACTTTCTCCACAAACTTGTCTAGTAATTCAAATAGCTTTTGCCCATCCTTTGAATAGCTAGAAGCATCAACGGACTCAACAAACATGGTTCCTCTTGGACAATTAACTAAAAAGTTAATCAATGTCCTTCCTCTCTTATCAGTCCAACCATCAGCCATTATGGAACACCCGTATTTTGCACAATCCTCTTTATGATTCTTCATCAAATGTTCAGTATGTTGCACTTCTTTTTTGAGTTGGGTAACGCGCACTTCATGGTAAGTCGGTGGCTTCATACCAGGACCATATTGGCCAATGGCTTCAATCATTGGTCCAAAACTCTCATAATTTACTGCATTAAAAGGGATACCAGCATCATACATCCACCTTGCAAATTTTTACACTGTCCGAGCTCTCATTTCTTTTTTGTAAGGGTCATTTGCATCAATTTTGGTTTGTTTCCCTTTTGCTTGGTCTCTTCGATTTTTCACCACTGCTTCAGGATTGGGTGTGAAGTAAACATCCACAGGCCCTTTTCTCTTTGGCATTTTTTATTTTGATTTGGATTTGGATGAACCTTGGCTACTACTTGTCAACTTACGGCGTTGATTGAAATTGATCTCAACAACATCTTCATCTTCATCTTCCATGTCCATGTCATCGAAATTAGACAACATGTTCATTTCTTCTTTTTGTGTCCTTTTTTTTTTACATGAACTCTCTAATCTTTTCTCTTACATGAGAAGGACACTTCAGGCAAGCAGTAACATTCCTATAACCTCCCGCGAGGTGTTGTTTCACCCGATAAACACCTCCATTCAAGGTTCTGAAAAGCGATTGCGGTTGCTATAACGGTGGCGGTGACGCGGTTGCGGTTGCGGGGTGTAAAGGCCATAGTGTAATGGTTGCGGTAAACGGAACTGTGAATTTTTTTATTTTTCACACAGTTTGAAAAAAACTTACTGATACGCATATATTTTTTCCATGGATCATATTTATTGGGTTAAAAATAAATATTGATCAATTTTTGTAAATTTTTAAGTATGATCCAATATATTTCATATTTTTAAATCACTATAAACTGAGTTTTTTACATTTTATTTTAATAATTAATGACTTTATATTATACAAAAAATCAATCACTAACTATTATATATAAGATAAACAATGACAAAAGTAAGAGAATAAATAAGAGCCTAAATATATATATATATATATATATATTTTCCTGCACAGTGGCAGATATGTAAATACGGCGTTTACTTCAAAGCTTCAATGGCCCCGTTTGGTGTAGCTGTTAAAACAGCTTATAGATTATAGCTTAACAGATTATAGATTATGACTTTAATCAGAAGTTGTTAATCTGTTTGGTGTAGCTGTTGGATTATAGATTTAAGTTGCTGAGTAGTGTTTGTTAAATAAGCTGTGAAATAGCTTTTTCAATTAATTTTTATTTTTTGTTTGTCTACATTTCTCATAAAAAATAATAATAATAATCTATAGTCCATTTGAGTCTTTTTCTATTTGTAAAAAAATAAAAAATAAAAAAATTTAAGAGTATAACTATAAATTAACATGTCCACAGCAGAAGCTGATAATCAGAAGCAAGGGGTGAGCAGCTTCTCAGAATCAGCTTTTTTGAGTTAAAATAAGCTGTTAGAATCAGAAGTTGTTTGAAATAAGTTTAACCAAACGGTCCAAAATAACTTTTTCAAAGCTAAAAGTCATAAGTTGACTCTGAAAAACTGAAACAAACACCCCCATAGATAGACACACACAAACAAAATAGTTTAGTGATAGCAGCTGAATAGAATAGCATAGGTCTTACAGTTTCAACAAATCAATAACAAGTTCTTCATCTTCCTTCTTCTCTCTCTCTCTATCTCTTGCTCCTCCATTTTCTCTCTTTATCTTCCCTCTTTTCTCTATCCCTCTTCCCCCATTTTCAGCTTTTTTTATTGTGTGTTTTTTTGAAAGAAACAGTTTGGAACCGTTACGTAATGGTGCATAACAGGCCGTTATGGCTGTTATAGCACCGTTACGACTGTTATGGCAACCGCTACGGCCGACACACCTGTGAATCTTAATCACACTGCAAAAGCGGCCGTAACGGGTGGCGGTAACCGCCAAAACCGTTATGTAACGACGTTACGTAACGGTTGCGCCTGCTTTTTAAAACCTTGCCTCCATTTGATACTGTACCACAAAAATTACACTCGAACTTGTTTAAATTATTCACCTTTACCAAATGGGCATGTTGCCACGCCAGATCTTTTTTATTACTTTCCGATGTCATTTTCTCCACAACAAATTTAATAAATGGAAAATAATTTAAGTGTAATGTAATGTGTGATCATGTGATGAATTAATTATTTGTAATTTTTTTTCCCTAACAGATAAAGGAAAAAAAAAACCAATACCACATTGTATTAATTAATTATTTGTGAATAATTAATTATTTGTAATTTTTTTTTCTTAACAGATAAAGGAAAAAAAAGATCAATAGCATATTACAAATAATTAATTATTTGTGAATAATTAATTATTTGTAATTTTTTTTCCCTAACAGTTAAAGGAAAAAAAAAACCAACTCAAGTGTATTTTTTTTAGTGTATTTATTAATTATTTGTAAATTTTGTAAATTCTTCTCTTACATTTTTTTCTAGAGACTCAACTCAAATAATTGAAAAAAAAGAAGCAAAACAGAGCACTAAAAAAGGAAAGAGAGGAAGAGTCGAAGTCGAACACACGCACACCTAAAGAAGTCGAAGCCCCAAAAAAAAAAAAAAAAAGAAAGCAAAACTGAAGTTGAAGCAGAAGAATCGAAGTCGAAGAAGGAGAAGGGGAGAGAGAGTCGAAGTCAAACAGACCTGCAAAGCCGAAGTCCAAGTCCAAGTCGCAGTTGAAGTCCAGCTCCAGCAGCCCAGTCGAAGTCGAAGTCCAAGGCGAGGCGAAAGAGGAAGAGACGACACAGAGTAGGGTTCATCTGAGTCGTATTTGGCTCATATGGTACATGAGTTCTAATCTTTTGTGATTATGAGCCATTCGAACACACCCCTACAGTCGTTAGATTAGATCTACCTCTTAAACAATCAATCGCGCCTAGGCGTGAGCCTTGCGCCTCTCTCGCCTGGTTCAAGTCGCTGCTAAGGCGCGCGCCTAACTAAAAGTACCTCGCCTGGTACCTGTTCAGTTGCAGGCAGTGTGCCTCGCCTCGCCTCGCCTTGCGCCTAGGCGCGCTTTTCACAACACTGGTATTGCCATTTAAAGCATAAATCTAATACCAAAATCCTATGTTGAGACATTAGGCTCTCTCTAGGAATCACCTTACAGTTGTTGCATTTTAGACGATTTACTTTTCTTTCTATAAAGTAATTTATTTGGCTCCTAATTGACCTACTTTTAAAGATTATCAAATGCTCTTCTCTCCTTTTATACATACTGTTGGCTAACACCATGTCAGAAATCAATGCAAAATCTAAAATACTCTCCCCAGTCTTATTTCTATCACCAAAACCATACCCGCCATGCACCTTCTCATAACCTAGTTTATCTATTCCTACATGGCCATTGAAATCTCTACCTCTAATTAGGTTCTCTCCTACGGTATCTCCCGTAACACCTCATCCATTTGGTCCCAAAAATTTCTCTAGTCTGATCATCTAATCCTACATGGGGGGCGTATGCACTAATAACGTTCACTATATTCTCTCCAATAATTCGTTTAACTAACATAATCTTATCACCTTACCTAATGACCCCAATTACGTTTTCTATAAGACCCTTGGCAACTATTATTCTTACTCCATTCCTGTGTTTATCCTTACCACTATAATATAATTTAAAATCAACATCCTCTATTTCCTTAGTTTTCTCATCCGTCCACTTAGTTTCTTATACGCAAGCTATACTAACTCTTCTCCTAATCATGACATCTATCAATTCCATAATCTTATCAGTTAAAGTTTGTACATTCCATGTGGCTACTCTTAACCTATAGTCTTGGACTAGTTTCTTTATCCGCGTTCATCCAGAAAAATATAGAAATCTTTACCCATTTTTCACCACACCTAGGCTTCGATGCAGCGCCCCCTTGCTCACTTTTTGAAACACCTAGAGGTAGGCGCAACGCGTCACTTAAGAGAAATGACTTAGCATTTAATCGATTCAAAGTAGGATTCATTTTCATTAGGGATCCGAATGTCTTTTTTACATGTTGGCTTTCGGCTACCTAACACACAACCCTCCTTCTTTATCCGGACTTGGGACCAGTGGAGTGGTTAAACTTAAAAGCCATTTCTCAATGGTGGTGGTGGTGGTGCTGTGGTATGTGGGAGTAGTAGATTGTGTAACGGTCTAACCTGTGTTCTATACATCTATTTGCACGAAGTGGGTACCACTAGACTTGAGCTCCTATGGGAAGGATTATTTTTGTCATTAATGGTTGCCTTCTTTGTGCTTGCAACTGGGGAGAAAATTTGTTTTTGGTTTGTTTGGTGGTGTGGGGACTGGGGCGGATTTCTTTAGAGATGTTTTAGTGACTATTAATGAACCAAAGGTTCTTACATCTTTGCTCATGGTGGATTTGGTTTAGAAGAATTTTGAATGGCTAAGAAATAATACTAAGGATATAACTATGTTAAAAAAAATAAATAAATAACCAAGGATGTGTTTGGTATTTTTTTTTTTTTTGCTTAAGATCTTTATTGGGTGACGATTTGGGGGCGGTTGGTATGCTAAAAGACAGACTTTGGTCTCCACGTTGACATACGTTGGGTATGTGATAATTTTTTCTTCTCAGGGAAATTTAGATTAGTAATCCTGAGCTTTTCATCGTATGGGAGTGTCCACATTTGTTGATATTTTCAGGTCTTGTTCTTTTGCACTTATGTTTTCTTACTCTTTTTTTTTCCTTTTCGAGATTCTAAGATTTGAATCACATCACCTATTCTATGATAATGAGGATTTCACCATGAGGCTAACAAAAATGTGGCCAGGCATTTCAATTGGTCACCCATGCCTTTCCCTTCCCTTCCTTTTGCTTCTTCTTTTGTGTATGTATTTTGCTTTAATTTATTTATTTAAGGTGGGTGGATTGGTTGCTCAAACCATTTCTTACCTTTCAGGAATAACTCTTTCCTTTCTTTGCTGCTGGGGGTTAGGGTTTAGGGGTTAGGCGTCCCATATTTTAGTAAAGTAGTCTAGGAAAGGTTTTATGGAAAAACACATTTTTAATAAAGTTCCACTGCATTTTTCTTCGTACTTTCACAGTGTAGATATGCTTTTCTATTTTTTTGATAAGTATTCTGTAGTTTGCATTTTCTAAATAGTAGGTTCCTGATTGTCATAAAACATGTTTGGGACATGGCTGATCATGCGTAGTGTTAAATGCACACATAGCATGGAGTCAGTTTTTTGTTTCAACTCTTAGTATTGATCAACAAAGGTCTGGGAACTGGAATTTGGTTCTTTTATTTGTCTTGAACATTTTATTATTCTTATTCTTTCTTTAATAATAATAATAATAATAATAAAAAAAAAAATATTGTTGAGATTGGCCCTATGTTGGAAAATCTTGTAATTTAATCTAAATTTCAGCATTTAAATTTGGATTCCATTTCTTTATCTGCTTTCTTCCGTTTCTGGTAATTGTCAGCTTATTGCAGTTTTCCTTGTCCTTTATCAAGCAATACATGTGAATTACAAAAAAAAAAAGAAAAAAAAAGTTTAAATGAAAACTAAAATTAATCATTTTTGTCTTTGCAATGTCTCTTATGTATGGCATGTGTTACTTTATAGATTGTGGACTTTGGAGAAAGCGGCCCTGTTCGATGTTCTCGTTGCAAAGGATACATTAATCCATTCATGAAGTTTATTGATCAGGGAAGACGTTTTATCTGTAACCTGTGTGGTGAGTAAATGATTCCTTGTATATTTTTGCCCCATCTTTCCATATGGTACTATACTATATCACAATTTAATTACTGTCTTTGCATGCTATTTTGTTTTCATTCTTGTACTTATCAATTATTATTTTTAAATTCTTTTCAAGACTTTCTTGTTGCTAGCATTCTGTTTTAGTGGGGGGAATAACAAGCTATCTTTGTTTATTTTACATTGTTAATTATGTTAGATTGTGGAATTTGATAGCTATCATTGAGAAGCTGTAGTTATTCTTACGTGTTAAGAATCTTAGTTATGTATGGTTTTGTAGGTCCTTGATGTTATGTAGTATATTCCTGTAATTGTGGGCACGAGCCATCATGTATTGTCAAATAAATTACAATATTCTAATTTGATAATGTACAACGTAGATCTATTGATGCAATAGTAAGGAATAGTGATATAATCACCATGAATGGAAATGTTAAGGGGAGGGAATGACCTAAACTAACATGGGATGTGGTAGTAAAAAAAGACGAATATATTTAATTTAATTGAGCATATAGCCGTTGATAGAGTAGAGTGGCAAAAAACAATTCATGTGGCCGACCACACTTATTCGAACACAAGGTTAAGTTGGGTTTGGTTTCTAGTTATTTTCCCCTGTATGTTTCTCTGTGAATATAATATTCTGCAGCTGTCAAAGTTGTGAATCTACAACCAATGCCATTTGTTTTGCAGGCTTTACGGATGAAACTCCTCGCGATTACCACTGCAATTTAGGTCCAGATGGCAGGCGTAGAGATGCTGATGAAAGGCCTGAACTATGTAGAGGAACAGTTGAATTTGTTGCTACAAAGGAGTACATGGTTAGTAACACACAAGGTTTGCAGGTTATTTACTACGGTTAATTTACACTTTTATTGACTATTTAATATTTAGTATTCTCATGTGATGTGTCCAGCACTGTTTATTGTTGATGGTATGATGAACAGATACCATTGTCCAAGGCAAAGTTTGAGACTTTGCAAACATTTTTAATCTAAAAATCAGCATGTATATCATCACTGAGGGACTTGAATTAAGAATTACCTGAAGAAGTTCATGTTCGGAAGTGTGTTTTTATGTATGTCAAAATATGGTGTGACGTTTTATATTTTCTTCCTAATTGCTGCAGAAGGAAAAAACAGAGGAAATACTTCATACAGGTCAAAAAATTCCAAATAATTAAGAATTATGTGACGTATAATTATTGCTTATCCTTTTATAGGACATAATAAATATACATACTTTGCTTGTGTCCTCACGTGTTGTGTTATACATTTTTCTGAAAATTTCCGTGTCATGTAAGGTGTTTGTGCCTGTGCTTCTTATGGTTGAAATCAGCTACAAATTTGGCTCATCGTAATCATTGGAGCCATGTCTTTGCTGAATGAGCCCCTAACTTGGATATAGTTTCAACACAACTAGGCATGCCTGAACCTGGTCTGGAACTGTGAAAATTATTGAAGTACACATCTTCAGAAAGTTGACTTATAGCACCCAATTTGGATTCTATGAATATCTTCGACCTTTGGGGTCTGAATCTCTTCGTTCTTTTATTTGCTCTTTTGTTGTTGGCTGTTGTTTAACATTTCACTTTCCTTTTGACATTTGGATTCAATTGGCAAGTTTCAAAATGTGCTAGCTAATTATGATTTTTGAACCCCCACTTTTGTTTACTTATCCCAATAAAAAAGAAACATAATTAATTGGAACAAAGAATAGGAAAAATAATATTTAAACTTGAACCGACTGGCTGCCATCAACTAACCTATGCAAAGGTTGAGATTAAATAGTGCTATTTTGGGAAGCTTTTATTTGTTAACCATTTTTATGCCCATGAAATATAGGTTTCAGTCTAGTTTATTGGCAGGATTGATCAGACTGATAGCATCTTTTGGCGTAACAGTTAACATTGCGATGAGATTAGCTGCCCGTTTAGTTGTGAATTCTTATATGCTGTTGTTGGGAGGATTTTTGTTGTTATTTCTTTCCCTTTCCTTGCCTTTATTATGGTACAGGATAACTAATTTTTTACATTCTTATTTTATTACCAGGTGCGTGACCCGATGCCTGCTGTGTTCTTCTTCCTTATTGATGTATCCATGAATGCTATACAGACTGGTGCAACCGCAGCAGCTTGCAGTGCAATCAACCAAGTTATTGCAGATCTTCCTGTAAGTTATATTTCTATTGAAGTATGTTGTACCATATTATTTGCCCACTTGAATGAGTTTTGGTCCGGTGATTTCTAATTGTATTTAAGTTTGCATGATCTATGTACATATTGCATTTAGGCTTGCTAACTTTTCTGCTGAAGTTGTTGGAAATTGTTATTTGTCAGTCATTTCGAGAATAATCTGAAGTATCAGTATTTGGGGGACTCTGGGAAAACCAAATTAATTTTCATAGCAAAGGGCCAAAGATTCTGTCTTTCGCTACAAGAAGCCTACAGATGTGAGTGAGTGTTTAAAGCATGACCAAAGCTATGTTACATGGACTCGGGTACGGGTGTCGGGTGCGGGTATGTATCTAGAGGTCGGACTCATTAAATCATAAATTTAAGGATACACGGACTCGGCAAAAAAATGTCATATTTTTATATTTTTAATCTAATATGTGAGATAAAATGGTATTATATTTAACTTATAGTGTCAAAATGGCATTTATAGCAATTATATAACAATATATACATATAATAATAGTGTTATATACAATTATATAAGAAGTATCCGTTGAAAAGTATCCGACACATATCCCATACCCTTGTCCGAGTGTCGGGTGTCCGACACGGGTATTTGATTTAATTTGAAGAGTCCATGTAACATAGGACCAAAGAAATATATTGAATTCATTTTTAGCAACCGTTATTGCATTGAAGAAGATGAAATCAGGTAAACCTTTAGAGCTAGATGGTATCCATATTGAGGTGGGAAATACTTAAGTGAGCAGAGGTTATCTTAGTTAGCAAAATTATTTAATTAGATTATAATGACTAGGAAAATGTCTAATGAGTGCAGAAAAGGTATTTTAGTTTCTATATATAAAAATAAAGAAGACATCCAAAACTGCAATAAATATAGATGTATTAAGTTGATTTGTCGATAAAAAAAAAAGGTTCATGTGTAGAATGATGAAATTGTGAGAGTGAGTGATTGAGCATCGCTTAAGCACTTTGTATCTTTTTTCTTTCCTTTTTAGTACAATTTAAAATGTTGCTGATAATTTTTTTTTTGGGTAGAGAACGAGCGATTGATCTTCGCTTGAGAGTTTCAACAATCAACTCAGAGAATAATACGGAAGCAATATACTTACTAAGGAGACAAATAGAAATGTATAAAGATAAGAATAGAGATCTTCATATGGTTTTTTATAGATTTAGAAAAAGTTTATGCAACTGTGCTTTAGAGATAATGGGCATTAGAGAAAAAGAAAGGCATATATTGATGCGATGGACGACATTGACATGTATGATGTGGCTATTACTACAATTGAATCATCTAAAATAGAAACAAGTGTATTTTCAATCATTAAAGGATCACACCAACAACCAATATTGATTACTTACCTATTTGCCCTAGTCATGGATGAATTGATAATATATACTATACTTACCTATTTGCCCTAGTCATGGATGAATTGATAATATATACTATACTTCCTCTATCTCAAAATATTAGTCCTTTTCAAAAATCAAGACTAAGATAACATGAATTTCCTATTTTGCCCTTCTTTTAAATTTACTAGTAATATCTTTAAAGTGTAATAATTGTACTACCAAAGGGTAGCTTTGGAAAGTTAATATTTTTGAAGTATAATAATTGTACTACAAAAAAAAGTTGAATTCCCCAAAAGGGACTAATATTTGGGATGGAGGAAGTATTTGGATGATGTTCCATAGTGATGTTGTTTTAGTAGATAAAACTAAAAGAGGAATGAACACTAAGGGGTTGTTTGGGATGATCTAAATAAATGCACTTTTTGACATTTTATGAAATATGGGTTTGGTTTGAAGTGATGTGGTAGAGAGGTGATGTGATTTAAATAAGATGATGTAACTTAAATAGGATAGTGACTTTTTGACTTTTTTGTGTTATGCCAAACTTAGCCTAAATAAGAAATTTATAATGAAACACTTGAGTCAAACGGGTTAAAAATAAGTAGGCTAAAATGGAATACACAGAATGTTACTTTAGTAGAAATAGCGGAGAAGTGAAAATTTAAAGCCGGGAGACACCAAAGAGTGAACAATTTCGTTTTCTATGTTTGATTATTAATAAAGATGACGAGGTTAGAGTTGATGTAACCCATAAAATCAAAGAGGTTGACTCAAGTGGAGGGGCGGAGGTTGGCTCAAGTGGAAGGGTGTTTTTGGCATATTATGAAATCAACCGATACCAACAAATTGAATAGAAAAATTTATAGTAAAAACAATACATTAATAAAATGAGTGTCGCTGAGATAAGGATGCTAAGATAAATGTCTAGCAAGAGTGAGAAAGAACAAATTACGATGGTTTGGTTATAGATAATGAAGAGTGGTAGATGCAACGGTAAGGAGTAGTGATGCCATTGCTGATAATGGGAATGTCAGTGGGAGGGGAAGACATGAGATGGTGTAGTAAAAAAGGATATGAGCTTATTTAATTTTACTGACCTTATAGCTCTCGATAGAGCAGAATGACGAAAAATGGTTGATGTAGTCGATCCCAATTGATTGGGACAAAGGACTTTGGTTTGGTTTGGTATTGTTGAGAGGAGGCTTTGTTTAACATGTTTGTACCAGATTGCTTGTAAGATCACAGCTTCAGACTGGATGTTACACCATTGGTTCCTGTTATATTCTAAACTGTTATATATTCTTGTTCCAGGTCTGCATATTATTTATTCACTCTGAATTATTTAGTGCTTAGACTTTTATTAATGCAATGAAAGAACCGTCCCTTCCTTTTTGTTTGGCCTGTCAGATAGAAAGAAGATTAGACCCCAAAGAGCCCTTCATTACCACTTTAGGTGATGGAAACATCCAAGAGAGAAGAAATCTTAGAGGAAGAAAATCTCAATTGACAGCTAAGAGACAATCTTTGAAAATATCTATTACAAAAGATCAAAAGTTGCCCCAATAGGACTGTCCACACCCCCTATTTATAGACAACCAACCCGACCACCAACTAATATAACAACTAACTAGCTCCAACACACGACATGCACATGATTAGTTAAATCATTAGGGGGTGGGGAATCATTTAAGTTTAATGTAACAGGTCAATTTTATACACATGATTTTACAAGCATAAGATGAAAAATATACACATGATTTTACAAGAGCATTAGATAAAAAAAATCACCTCAAGGATAGTTCATCTTATTAGAAGCACTTCACATGTTAGATGGGCGTATCCTGTATCTATTGAATGTTCTTGATTATTTGAATGTTTCTCTTTGGGAGGTCACATGATTGCCAGAGCAACTTGGTTTCAAAATTATTCATCATTTGGGTAGTCTTGGCCTTTGCAGATTGTTTAGATTTTTCTTGCTAGTAGCTATTAGCTTTTGTTTGCTTGTGTGCATGTTAGTTTTCTGAATGTCTCTCTATCTAGAGACATCTTTCTCGGCAGAATCTTTGACCTTGGCTGTTTGCCTTTGGTGGGGGTCCCAAGAATATACTTTTATTTGAACCATGATATAGACCCCCACTATCCCTCACCCCCACTACCCCCACACACACCTGGGGGTTAGTGATTGGAGAGAGAAAAAAAAAACAATTTTGGCCAATGACCGTCCACTGGGGGTCTCCCCCAGTGGGAGTCCCAAGCATTATACTTTCATCCATTCTTGCTTCGTGTTTTAATAGTTGTTTGATGGACTCCATAGAGAGGTGATGATGATTGAGGAATTTTGTGTAGATTGTAATTTTATTTTATTACTGTTTGATATTTTGCATACATTTGTGTGCTAGAGTTTTGACATTCTTGTATCTTTTGTACTCAATCTTAGTTTTTTCTTAGTTATTTGATCCATTTAATTCACAACCTGCTGAGCTCTATTGCAATTACTAAAGATAGAACATTTTAGTCATTGATCTGGTAATGATTTCTTCCAGGAGGGTCCTCGGACAATGGTGGGTGTTGCAACATTTGACTCGACAATTCATTTCTACAATATGAAACGCGCACTACAGCAGGTCAGTATCCTGTTCAAAAGGTTGACTTGTCTCAGATTCCAGTTCTTCAGTTGAAAATTAGTGTCTTTGCTTTGTAGCCATTGGATTCTTTCTTGTTCTTCTTCTTCTTCTTCTTTGTAGCCATTGGATTATTTTAATTTATATATATTCAGTGGAGCCTAATAGGAGAACTCTTGTTGGCAAAGAAGAGCCTATTAGGAGGATTAAAAGTTATTGTTTGTCCATTTTGTATAGTTGGATTTTGGGGATGGTTAATTCATTATTGAAACAAATTTTGGATTTTGTTTGGAATAGGTTTGGTTGTATAGTGGTTTTTCTTTTCTTTTGTATATGGGTTGTACACCCCGTGTGCCTTATAATATAATTTTAATTATCCCCCAAAAAAAAAAAAAAGTGCGTATGATGGTGCACATCACAAGTGGTTACTATTTAAAAGGGTTTAAATTTTAAGTTAGAGAGACATGGCTTAATTGAATGGTGAATATGCTCGATGACTTTTAATTTTAACATACAAATTGATTTTTATAATTTCACTTTTGAACTTCAGTACTTAATTTTTCAGTGTTAATAATCCAGTAGTAAAATTTTATGGCATTTGATTTTCAGTTTTATCCAACTATTCCATCCTCTTCTGCTCTTCGGAACAATTTGTACTGTGATCACATGCTTTATTTTCCTACCTTCCAACTGCATCTGGGTCAGTTTTAAGTTTTGGGAGTTTGTTTTTGTGGCATATTTTTTGGATAATGCTATTTGTGTCCTGCAAAATTTGTTTGATTGTGTTATCTGTGTATTGATGATAATACTAACCTAATGTTTGGTTCATATTATTTGATGTGACAAGGCTGATAAATTAAAGTAGGAAATTATAATTTGCAATCGTTTTGAAACAAATTTGTCATGAATGTTTTTTTTTTTTATCGTGAATCTGTGTGCACAGCCACTGATGCTCATAGTTCCTGATGTACAAGACGTTTACACTCCTCTCCAAACCGATGTCATTGTTCCCCTTTCTGAGGTCAGTTTCTTTCTTTTAGTTTTAATTTTTATTTATTTATTGTTGATAGCAGAGCTGTTTGCAATTATGTGACATGTAATTTGGACGAATGGTCTCGTATTTGTATTTCCTTCTTCAAAAGAATTTCAAAGTAATTTAAGCAAATTGGTTGTTTGTTTTGAGGATTCAGGGCCGTCAACATTTGGAGCTGTTGCTAGAAAATATCCCAACCATGTTCCAGAATAACAGAACTGCTGATTCAGCCTTTGGTGCAGCAGTCAAGGTTTGTACATTTCTTTATAGTGATTATGTACGCTTAGTAATTTTGAGACGCAATTCTTCTTGTCTAACATACTTATGAGCTATTAAATCTTTTCTTTGATGTAAATAGCCAAACCTCTTAGTAGAGAATTCTCATGCAAAAAGAGCATGCATATATTTTTGGAAAGATAATTTTGAAAATTTAAAAAGAATCCATTTATTGTGTATGCTACAGCATAAAAATGTTCCTATTCCTTCTGTCTTTTTAATTTAATGAGTGCGCGATTTCATGTTGGTGAGACGAGCAGCTTGGTAATAGAGCGGCAAATAAGCTGAGTTGAGGTGAGCCTAGCTGCAGGGTGTTTGGGCTCAGAATGATTATTTTTAATATGTTCGGGCTCGGACCATGTTTGCGACAAGCCCATTAGTTTGTGTGACATTTTTATTCCCCCATGTATACTCTACCCAGATTAGACACTTGGATACTCTAATTTTAATGTTTTTTGAGGAAGAAGAAACTCACATTTGATAATAAAGAAAATTTTCTAGCATCAAATTGATGGCAGGTAGAAATCCTTCAATTCTCTAAATCCTATTAATTTCAAGTACATTTGTAGAAATAATGTGATATGTTAGTACGTCTTACAACATACAATTTCTTGAAATGTTCAGTATGTGTCCATGTACCCATACAACCATACATATTCCTATATCCTAAGATTAAGGGTTTCGTGTTCAGGATCTGGGCACACCCACTTCTGGCAATTATACCAGATTTCATGTAACATAGGAGCCCTACCATATGCTTTGGTTCGTGACAGTTTCATGATCTCACGAGCACAACTCGGCTTCATAAGGCTATATGAAAATGGAAGAGAAAACAAACCAGCGGGCAGAAAGACGATGTGATAGTGTGATTATAGCATGTCAGAAAAAGGTTTAAAAACTGGGCCACCCACCTACTTTTTGTATGATGCTCCAAACTGGAGTCCCGTATACTTTAGCTTATACCACATTCCTTCAGAAAATGTATCCTATGTATGCATATTTATGTCGAGTAATCTTTATTTATATTATTAGGTGTTCTCATATTTGAGTTATTAAAATTTGGTGGGATGATAAGGGGAACTGAATTATGGGAGTTGGAAGAAAATATAAGAAAATGGAATACTTAGTAGACAATTATGGACAGTGCTTAAGTTCAATTAATATGAAAGGAACTTGATTTAACTTTTCTGGGATTTACATGCTGGCATTATTGAGGAGAGTATTATGGACAGATTGAATGTGGAAAAATTGTTACTGTAGTGTCATATTAGTGTAATGTAAGCATAAACTATTCATATTATTGTAGTGCAGAATTTGTCCTATAATATATCTCTTAGACTTTCTCCCCATAAGTATGATAGCATAGCTTACCAGGTTTTTATTTTTTTGGTCTGTACTTTTTAATCTACAGCACATCTCTCAATCACAGTAATCTTCATTGATAGAACTGATGCTTGCCCACTATTATGATTTTTGTTGCTTTTATATTCTGTAGAAGTCTGCTAATAATTAGGAATTATAGAATTCTGTTATTACCTATGTGCACACATACATCTGAGTAAATTCAGTGTGTCTATGTTGAAATTTATGTTTTTTTGTTATTATTTCAGGCTGCTTTCTTAGCAATGAAGAGTACTGGAGGAAAACTTCTAGTATTTCAGTCTGGCAAGTTCATGAACTTTCCATCATTGAATTTTATGTGTTTGGTATAAACAACAACGAAATTGCTAGCCCATACCATATCTGTTTATGTTGCCAAGTTCTCAGTCATATCGTGCTTCTTTTGTGTTTTTTCTTTTCATTTTTAGTTTCAAAAAAATCAATCAGGCATATAACTGCAAACAAATTCTGTACTTTTATTTACTCATAGATACTAATGAATGTGAATTGAGATGGGGAATATATGTCTGATCTAATGATGTCGAGGAAATTATGTAATTTAGTAGCCAAGAATGGCACACTTTTCTAATTCAGGCTAGGGTTTCTTTAGGCATAATAGAACTATTAATTATGTTAATGTGGGAATTATGTAGGGATTTGGTTGTTTGATATGAGGATGTCTAGATCAAATAAATTGCTTGCAAAAAATAAATGTTGCTCGAGTAGGTGTCAGAATTTAGGATTTAGGGATTTGGCTTTTAGAATAAGATGCGATTTTGAAGTCAAAGCTGGCAAATCCTATTCTATATTCTTATTAATCTGCATATAAGATTTTGTTTTTGATAAGTACAGTGTCATTTATGGAAGTAGAAAATGGGGCATCGCCTTTGTAAAATAGCTTTCCGAGATAAAAAATCTCGACATGCAAGTTGAGCTCCTATAAAATCTACAAGAGCAAAAGAGGCTTTGTAAAAAATAAATAAAATCATTTAGTCCAAAAATGGAATTAATGTAATAAACACATCTTTAGCGGTATTCTCGATTCAGTGTTCAAAAGTACATTACTTCCTCTCTCTCCAAGCACCCCATTATACATGATCACATTACCATCCAAGCACTGTTTTTCTTCTTCAATCTACATTACATCCATCCCCCCAACACTATACGCCATCACCCAATGGACCTAAAATATCATTACAGTCACATGCCATTCCATAACTCCTTGGTCACATCACAATGAAGCATTAGATGATCTACTGTCTCTTACGCACTGCAGCTCAAATAATACTGATTAGGAAGCCTGAAGTCTCGCTCCATCAAAATATTGAATGGAGTCTAATATGTCTGTTGAGAAAAAAAGGCCACTTTGTTGGAGCTCCAAACTTCTAAATGATCTTTGAAGCGAGAGGGGTACTTGATGCTCCGGTGATCAAAGACACACCCAAGAAGGCAATGAGAGTCTTCACTTTCTTCTCACCCACTCTGACCTCTCCATTTGATCTTCTAGAAGAGGCCCTCCTCACAAACCATCCTATATGTGCCGTCTGGACTAAGCACTGCTTTTGGGGGGGGGGAGGAGGGGGGGGGGGATTCTCTGGGTGAAGGAAGCCTTTGCTCCTTCCATCTCCTCAATACCGAGGCAATCCTGCTTTCTGAACCAGCCACCAGGTCCTCACCAATGTTGTCTTCTCTTTGTGCTACTATCTACCATCTATACTGGATGTCCCCCTTCACAACTAAGGCCAATGATCCACCATCATCTCCATTAGTTCCCAGACTACCTCGCCTACCCAAATCTCTTACATCTGTCCAACAATTATTTGTGCCACCCTCCTCCTCAACACACTGTGTACTGCATGGAACATTGGCTCATCAAAACCCTCTCTGCATTCAGCAACAAGTTTTTCTCTTTCCTTCTATTCTCCAATAGAAACAACCTTCATCTTTTCTCAGTCGAGAAAGCAAAGAAGAAGACGGAGAACTAGGCCCAATGCAGTCCAGCCTTGGAGGCTGTGCCTTGGCCTGGACCAAAAATACTGCTCAGAGAAGAGGAACGTGAAGGAGATAAAATAGAAAGAGGCTCAAACCTGTTTCCTCCAGTATTGTTGGGCTTGGGCTTGCTATTGTAGACTTCAGGACCTTTGTCTTGTCTTAGAACTTGGACTGGTAGGCATATGGCCCCACTGTCTTCTTAAAACCACAGTTTGGGGCTTTTAAAAAATGGCCCATTTCCCTGATCAACCGTTCACTCCAGCATGGGCAATTTCCCCTTTTCCACCCAAGCGAGCTTCCTACTGCCCAACTCAGATTTGGCCCTGGAACTATCTCCAACTGTTATGTTATGTGGCTTGGACTGAGCTAGCTTATTATTTTTCAACACTTTCTGGCCTTGCTGAGTCTTAAAGGATCCATGCTGATTAATTTTCTTCCCACGTGTTCCGAGTTCAGAGGATGTTTTTGTAGAGCCTTTAACCTTCGTTGGGATCATGTGATGCAAATTTAGCCCTATGCATGATCCCTATGGCAACCTAGGTGTTAATACCTGGAGTTTTCTTTCTTTTCTTTTCTTTTTTTCTTGTTCTTGCTCTTCTCAATGTTCTGTTCATTTGATGCTTTATAACCCTACTGGAACCTTATCTGATCCTCATTCTTTTCCTACCCTTTTGATTATGATCCTCATTCTTGCTTCAACCATTTAGGCATAGCTCATAAATGTTATTCAAATCAGGCTCTTTACTGCTTACAGCCCCAGATCAGTCCCAGAATTGTTGTCTTTTTCCAGAATTAAACCCTGAAAACCTTGGCCTTTTGTTACAAATTTTAAACTTGCTTTTGCTACATTTTTCAACTCTCTTCTCCATAATTAAACTTTTTTGATTCTTGGTATACCAATTGACAATTACCTTCTTATGAATTTATATACATCACATCAACTTTCTTTGACATTTGGCCTTCTGCAGTGAAACTTAAATTGCCTTGCATAGCTAGCAGCGTTGCAGGCATCTAGTAGAGGCAGCAGATGCCATCTGTTTATTTGATTGGTGTTTGGAAATCTTACCCTTCATGCATGTAGCAAAGTTCACCTATATAACTTGAGAATAAAATGTGTGTTCCTGAACAAGATTGTGCTGTGAGCTATAATTTGAAACCTGCCCTTTGGCTGGTACCAAATGAAATGGTTTGGGTGAATATTTTGGTGATGTATTCGGTCTACAGGATGTAGTGATCTTAGGTAGGATTGTATCTGTCAGTAGCAGCTTTTAAAAGAATTGAAGTCTCGCAGTAATTAAATCGGGAGTTCACTCTTCATTGCTAGAGACTGTAGTATTTTGTTGCGTTGCTGGATTGTATTTCAGTATTTAAAAGTTTTACCACCATCCAGAATTAATTTTTTAAGGTTTGTCTGGGACTTAATAAGCTAAATCATGGCAGCAGAAATGTTTTCATTGTGGTTTGACAGTGACATTGAGAATATGTATTATTGCGCTCTTAAATTGAAGTTAGGTAATGGATAATGTAAGTTTTCTTACATTTTGATTTCTCTGCTACATGCCTATTGGCAATTTTGTCCCTGTTTGGTAGTGCTCTTCACTTGGCATGTGAAGCTATTTGTTCATTCTCTTTTATAAGATCTTTTTGATCTCCTGTTGTTTATAACAGATGTGTTGAGAGAATTGATGGATCTGATAGTGTTATTGTCCTATGTTGTATACAGTGTTGCCATCACTTGGGATTGGATCCCTTTCTGCAAGAGAGGCTGAAGGAAGGACGAATATCTCTTCTGCAGATAAAGTATGCTTATCTGATATATATTTGTTCCTTTGCTTTCTCTGTCCTTTGGTGTATACTGGTTACATTTTCTGACTTTTGGCTTGAGGTAGATGGTGAACTAGTTGATCGCAGGTTTCCTGTGCAAAAGTGAAGGAGCCAGACTCCTTTTCTACATTGGTTTAACTTCTGAAGTTGTCCATTCAATGGATTTGTCTAATTTTAATTAGTACTAAGCATAGGCATCAGATATACAGGAGTTTCACTTTTTCTAAACTACTCTTTTCTTCTTTTCTGTGTCCAAAAGGAAAAAATTACACCCAGTTTAATCCCATTGGATGGGATCTAGGAGGGATAGATTGGGTGCAGACCCAACCAATCTTTCCGGAGTGAAGGAAAAGAGGGTGGTTGTGCTAATCAATGTGGAATAATTTCTGATGGAAAAATTGCATCAACCAATCTTTTGTAGTTGTTTAACCTTGTGAATTCCAGATGGAGTTAATGATCAACACAGTCATGTATGATGGATGGTTGCTAGTAGCAAGTGTCTATAGTTGATGATCAATACTGTCATTTAAGATTTGGGCTTGGTTTAGTGTGATGTTTATTCTTCAGGCATTACACATTTTTTGTGTAATGCAGCTTTGGCAGTCATCAGTTTTGGTTGTGCTTTCTGTCAATATGATTACCATTCCAGGCTTTTGAGACAATTTCTCTTTTACGTCCTTCTGATGCATTACATCCAAATCTTCTTTTAATTTTGAAATGTGTGATGAATTGATACAACTTTTCTTTCCTGGAGAGCTGATTTTGTTTGTCTGTAGCTTGTCAGTGAGATTCTCCCTTTCCCTCACTCTAAAGGACCTGCCTGATTTTTCTCTTTCTATTTTTCTTCTTTTTTTAATTTTTTATTAAGTACTTGTGGATTTGTCTCTTCATTATTCTAGTGCGTCTTCATCCTTAAAGTGTACTTTTTTTTTTTTTTTCTTCATATAGTGTTCTGTTTATTGTTGAATTTTAGGAGGCCCATAAATTACTCCAGCCAGCAGACAAAACTTTAAAGACAATGGCTGTTGAACTTGCAGAGTATCAGGTGGGGTTTTACTGTTTTGGATCTTCCTACTCCATATAGTTCTGAAATCTTTCCATGATTGTTGGTTGAGACTTATGATGCAAACAATAATTTTCTTTTAATTCAATCTAATCAATGTTTTCAGGTGTGTGTTGATGTGTTTATTACCACCCAAACTTACGTGGACATTGCTTCAATCTCTGTCATCCCAAAAACTACTGGAGGGCAGGTATTTGTGAAAGACTATTCTATCATTCTGGCTTGGTGGTCATATAAATTGTGAATTGTTACTCACAAGAATTGTTGATTTAAGTTAAAAAGCAAAACTGTTCCATTTTGATTTCTTCTGAATGATCCTTTCGTAGTATTGTCTACTTCTCAATATACGCTTGGAAAACTGTCTCTTCATAATTTTTTCTCCATAGGAAACTTGGAATCAAGTTCTTTGTGCCTTCTGCTACCTTATTCTTTACCTGGGAGCACATTTATATTAAATTGTTTTTGATAAATTTCACATACTGCAATTGCTTTTGTCCATCGTATGCAACTGGAGCTTGACTTAATTTGATAATGAATTAAGCATCTTTTTTCTTAAATACCTCCAGCACAAAGTTTTCAATATGTGCTCATAGATGGTAAATCCTTATTAATTTTTCCATTCATATATGAACATCGTAAGATGTGGATCTCAAGTACCCCCTTTTTTCTAAGTGTATTATTGTTACCCTTTCTTTGCTCTTTCTAATCCTGCCAAGCTTTACATTGATATTTTTCCTTTTCATATATGAATATCTTAAGGCGCAAACCTCAATTATTTCACCCTTTCTTCCAGGTGTACTATTATTACCCTTTCTCTGCTCTTTCTGATCCTGCAAAGCTCTACAATGATCTTCGATGGAACATCACAAGGCCCCAAGGTTTTGAGGCAGTCATGCGTGTAAGATGTAGCCAGGTGAGTTCCCCCCCTTCTTCTCCAACATTGTAGGAGGGGTTTTTTGATGGCTCAACTTAATGCTAAAATTTGAAGTAACAAGCTTTTTATTTAGTTGTTAATGCTGAACATGCTTAGCATAAAGGCATTGGACAATATCTCACAATGACAAATTTTCCTTCACAAATGCAATGTGCAACCACTTATGCTTTTGTCTCTGTTAAGGTGTTTTGCCATCAGCCTACCAACACAACTATCACTTCTCTGTCGCCTCCATCACTAACACTAACTACACACCACCACCACATCATTGCCACATTCACTACCCTACCACTCCACCTCCACCTCCACCTTCACCTCCCCACCATTACTGTCACCACCACCACGCCACCACCACCGCCACCACTGTTGTTGTCACCGCTATCCTGACTTTACAGAACCACTATTGCCCCAACCACTTCCACACCACAACCGTTGTTGCCACCACCATCACTCGACTACCATAATTGTCACCACACTACCACCACCACCACCACCACCACCACCACCACCTTCATGACCTCTACTATACTACAGCACAACCACCGCCACCTCTGCCATGTCGCTACAACCTTACTGCTATAATATAAGGATTGAAAGAGAAAAGTTATAAAATTAATAAATTTCATATTTGAACTTCTTGTATATATGAAACAACTTGATTAAAGTTGGAGCTTAAATTTTAGTACTTACCAAACATTTTCTTCCAATTAAGAAAATTTAGCAATATCCTTTTCAGTGCTTAATGTTTAGTTTTATGTTTTATCGAACAAAACCTAAAAGTAGCTTTCTTGTTCTATATTCTAAAAACAATGATGCTTAGATTTCTTTTTCCTCTTTTTTAGGGTATTCAAGTTCAAGAATACTCAGGAAACTTCTGTAAGCGCATTCCGACTGATGTTGACCTCCCTGCGGTTAGTACATGCTTTATGAGATACTTTTTTTTTTTGGGGGATAAATTGCTTCATGAGATACTTTGCATTTGCGTATAACTAATTAACCTTTCGTTCCTTTTTCATTCTTTTCTCTTCTACTAATGTTAAGTGTTGTAAACTATTGGGGAAATATGATATACATTGATGATAAAAATTTGATTGAAATTCAAGCATAATCTAGATTTCTTGTGAGATAGTGGCATTGTATATTCTAAACTATTTTAGCTTTTGACATTGAAATTTTTACTATAGGCACTTGTCTCCGTTCCATGTCTAGTGTTCACACCTTTCCTTGAATTACAAGATCACTTGACTTAATTTTAATCTAATTAGAAGGGCCTACTGGTTCCATAGTCCGTATATCTGTCTCAAGTAATATTACTAGAAACAAATGCTAAATATATAAACCAAACCAAGTCTTGTGTCCTAATCAGGTTGGGTTAGCTACATGAATCCTTTATCACCATTTTGCTCATTGCTGTGCTCAAGTAAATTTAAAATAGATTTGTATCATTTTTTATTACAACATCCCATTTTAGTTTAGTCCTTCTCTTTCCCATAACATTTCTGTTTATGATGATTATATTACTCTTCCTTTTCGTTGCATTTACCATTTTGGTGTATTCTTTCTAAACTTATCTTAAATTGATTCTACTCCTACTATTTCCCGAATATATTAATTTTAAATTTCTAGTCTTACCACATATCCATTTAAGTTTCTTCATCTCAATTACACTCATTTTGTGACCGTGTTGTTTCTTAGTTGCCAAACATTATGTTCCATAACGCATTGCTAGCTTTATGGTTGTCCTATAAAATTTCCTTTCAATTTTGTTGATAGCTAGAAGCACTCCTCCACTTGAGCCGACCTATTAATTCTATAGATTCATCATCTCCATTCCCTATATCTATATTAATAGTTGAACATAAGTAACAAAATTGTTTACTCTTTGTTATCTCTTGGTTTTCAGTATTCACTTCTATTTCTATTTTTATTTTTTGTTGTTCCTATCGTTCAAACTAGTAATGTGTTTCATGTTTGTCTAAAGTAATGGACACATGTGTCCCTTAAGTGTTTGAAGCTTTTTCGAGTCTAAAAACGTAATATGACATGTTTGGATGCATGTCTGAAACGTGTTAGAAAGTGTCCAATGTGTGTTGGTGCTTGACACGAACGCGTCTCCTTTGAAATGTCTGTGATTCTTAGTATTCAGTGTGTTTTAGACACTTTATGAGAACATACAGTTCTCATGTTTGGCATCTTTCCTTAGTGTTCAACTTGCTGTAAGTTAGTTGGGTGTCACTCTTGCTGTTTTACGCTAGCTTTTTTCATTACTCTTGTTCTCTGTCCTAATTGCTGTGCATAATTGTTTATGGATGTTCAATTGATCTGGTCCATTCACTGCGATTGAATTTGTCCCCCTCATTAGTTTTCCCCCTAATGCAGATTGACTGTGACAAAACTATAATGGTTACTTTGAAACACGATGACAAGCTGCAGGATGGTTCAGAATGTGCTTTTCAGGTACAACTTTTTCCACTTATTTATTTGTGGCTTTCCAGGTTTTCATATCTTCATTCTCACCCTCTTTTTTGGAAGAGCTTCTAGTATTCTTTCACATAAACAGCTTTTGTTTTATTTAGTTATTTATTTTGTGCATTTTGTTGTCCAGTGTGCTCTTCTTTACACTACTGTGTATGGCCAAAGAAGAATAAGAGTTTCTACCTTATCTTTGTCATGCACAAGTCTGCTAAGTAATTTGTTCCGCTCAGCTGACTTAGACACCCAATTCGCTTGTTTCTTGAAGCAAGGTAGTTGATTATGATATTTTATGGTTGCTTTGGCTCCTTTAATTGTGATATTTAGTATTTAGAGAACACTTGATGTCTCGTCTTTTTTTTAAAGAGAAGAATACTAATCACAATATTATTTCACCTAACCTGTAGCCGCAAACGAAATTCCTTCCAGTCCACTCTCACAAGTCAAGGAGCAAGTGACAACCCTTTGCATCAACATCCTGCACTCATATCGCAAATTTTGTGCTACAGTATCATCATCTGGTCAACTTATCCTTCCAGAGGCACTTAAACTTCTGCCTCTATACACACTCGGTATGTTTCTTTATGCTTATTAATCCATATTTATCTGAATGTAGTAGGTGGGCCCCTATGCGTTATGGATGTGGGTTGCATGATAGTTTTTACATTTTTTATGGTATTATAATTAAGAAATAAAGGTAGTATTTGAAGATGGAAGATAAATATTTACATTTGTATTCACAAAAATGTTTTTTAGATTATAACTTCATGTTGCAAGCAGTTTCACCACTTCTTGTCCATGGAAGATATAGTTCAGAAAATTAAGTCAGAACTGATTTTTTAGAGGTTTTTTAAGATGATCTAAATAAGTGTACTTTTTGACTTTTTACGAAAAGAAAATGTTATGGACCCCAAATAAATTACCAAATTTTCTACCAAACCTCTCACATGGGTGGAACCTACACAAATCACGTGTGTGAGTCCTACACCCATGTGAGAGGTTTGGTAAAAAATTTGGTAATTTATTTGGGGTCTCTAGCATAACTCTTTACGAAAAAATGTGTAGAAAAGTAAAGAGGTGATGTGACTTAAAAAAAATAAAAAAAATAAAAAAGTGTGCTAATATAGGGGATGCCAAACAATCTCTTAAGCTGTATTTGGTTGAGAGATTTGGGAAGGGAAAGGAAAAAGGAAAAGGGAAAATGTGTGAAACTATGTGAAATGTAGCTATATTTTATTCACGTTTCACTTATCTTTTTTCTTTCCATTTCCAAATCTATTTCCAAATCCCCCAACCAAACACAGGGTTAATGCTTAAGAGGTAATTGTCTAATTATCATAGTAACAAACCAAATTGTTATTGCATGTTGATATGTGTAGTGCTGATAAATATATAAAGTTGAAACAAAGGCAAATCAATCATTTCACATTCTGCCTTACATCTGGAGCCTCCCATGCTTGTGACCCTTTCCAAATGCTTCCTTTGGCAGCATATGGCAATGAATGCTACACTATTTTAAATTGCTTGTTTTAAGTAAAATGGCTCATAGATTTTAAACCTTTTGATTTGAATAAAAGGGCCAAAGAGTGTAAAACCACTTGATTTGAGTGAAATTGGTCATAGGTTATTTTAAATCGTTTGATTTGATTACAATAAAAATATCAAAATGTTATTTTAATTCGTTTGATTTCGATAAAATGGTCAAAAGGTTATTTTAAGTCATTTGATTTGAATAGAAGTGTCAAATGAAGGAAGTAAAAAATGAAATGACAAAATTTATAACCACATATCTGAATTTGAATTTAATGATTAATGAGTTATTTTAAACCATCTGAATCGTTTGAAATGGTCAACATGTTATTTAAAAACTCAATTTGAGTAAATGTTCAAAAGTTATTTTTAAACTATTTGATTTGATTAAAATGGTGAATGGGTTATGTTAAACTATTGGTTTGAATAAAATGGCATTTTAAACCATTTGGTTTAATTTAAATAATCAATGACCTGAAATATTGGGCACAAAAGTTTGGTAATCTGATAAAATTAGGCGTTAGAATTATCGATATTTATAGGCATGGGACTGTAAACACATATGAGGTAACATGGGAAGAGTATAAATCAAAGTCAAAGCTAGATTGGTTATAAAAAAAAATAAAAAATGAAAAAGTCGCTTTGATTCTACATTGGGAGAAATGTCCAATTTAGGCACTTTATATGTGTTGGCTACATGGGTTCATATTTGAGGAGCCAAGTTTCATTGTCAATCACCCCTCAGGAATGAGGGGATTGTGGGTAAGGAGGAAATCAGGATGTGGAAGGAAGTCCTTATGCGCTTTGTATATGTCTGTAGATTAGTTTTGAATTATTTTCTCCTCTTCAGCTTTCTTTTTCTTGTTTCACTACGGAATTAGTTGAATGCCCGCCCCCTACGGCTGTAATCTTGTTGCCCACCATTGTTGACATTACAACATATAAAGTATATATATGTATCGAGTAAAATGCAAATAGGATGTAACTGATATTATCTGATAAAGTAAATGTTAATGATAAAATTCAAAATAACTGTATAATTAGAGGATAATGAGAGGTGAATTTTGTAATTACTAAAAAGAGTGCTAAATTATGATTTCATAATGATGTTATAAAAGAGAATTCGGCCATGCTACTCTGGCTTTTATTATAACTAGAAGATGTCCAAAGTGGTGGTAATTCAGTGTTGCTGAACCATGCAGTATTTCCATTTAGTTAGAATATGCTTGCAGAAAGTCGAGCCATTGAAAGTTTGATTGTCTGATGCTTAGTTTAATGACTTCTGTAATAATTTATTGGTTTTTTTTGTGAGAGAACTATTTGAATATCCTATTCTGGTGGTTGGCATTACTTAATTTTCTTGTCATACAATATTTTGTAGATAGTTTGATTATATTTGAATTTTTATTTAATTAATTTTCATGTTCCCTTTCAGCTTTGGTTAAAAGTACAGGGTTACGAACTGATGGGCGAATAGATGATAGATCCTTTTGGATCAATTATGTTTCTTCTCTTTCTAATGCTTTGGCAATCCCACTGGTGTACCCCAGGATGATGGCCATTCATGACCCTAACTCGAAGGTATTAGAAATAATTTTGTGTACTGTTAGTTTTATGTGATCCTAATATTTTGGTGTGATACTGCCAAATTGACAGGAGATAGATGCTGCTCTTATGCCTCCTGTTATCCCGCTTTCCAGTGAACATATGAGTGAGGATGGAATCTATCTTCTGGAGAATGGGGAGGATTGTTTAATTTATATTGGGAGTTCTGTGGATCCTGATATCATGCGACAACTGTTTGGCATTTCCTCGCTTGATGAAATTCCAGCTCAGGTAGTCTTATTGTTTTTTGAACTACACAATGTCTAACTATATAGCATCATTAAGAGTAATGATATATAAACTAAAAATTCATACATAATGGTGTGGCCCATTGTGGACCTTTCACTTTAAAACAGAACACCATTGAAGATGAGTTTATTTACTATAATAGCATTACAACATCATTCTTATGGAGTTTTTGTATGATTTTTATGTATGAATAGAGTTTTCCCATCATTAATTATGGTTGGGAACAACATGCATAGGAGTTTGAGATCTGAATTAGTTGTTTAAGATTTGCCAGGATTGATAAGTGTCTGAATTCCGGATGTATTTCATTTAGAACCCTTGTGTTGCTATTTTTTTCTAGATAACTTTCCTAGTCTCCCTAAGTGTAAATTAAGGTGTGGAGATTTAGTTTCAGTACTGTTGTCATTTTAATTTTGGGTTAAGGGTACTTCTGTGTTTTTGTCATCTTTTATTCATTAGAGAGTTGTCTTCTATTTATTTTGTATTAAGCACACATTGTAAGGTAAGAGATTAATGCAATAATATTTTCTCCCTCTAACCTCACTTAAGGATCCTACAAAGACTTGAGTTCTTTTTCTGCATAATTATGTTATTATTCCTTTGGTAATGTTGATTTATATGATTGTGTTGTTGATGAAAAATGAGAACTTTAATATAACTTGTGTTTCAGCTTTATTTATCTGCTGAGATGCTTGTTATGTTACTTCAGTATATGACTTCTTTCTTTTGCCTCAGTTTGTACTGCAGCAATATGACAACCCACAGTCCAAGAAGCTAAATGATATTGTGAATGAGATAAGGCGCCAAAGATGTTCCTACCTCCGGTAATGCCTGATGTTCATGGAAGATTGTCTTTTTATATACGTACATGTGTCTGTAATTATTTTTAGAGACAATAAAAAATGTTAGAAGTATATGCTTTAAAATATATTTCCTATTCCATATCAAATTGTTTGAACAATCATATTTTATGTGATTGTTTAATAATTTTTGTTTTCATTTTTTTGCAGCTTAAAATTGTGCAAAAAAGGAGATTCATCAGGTCAGTGCATCAAAACAATCCTCACCACTTTGGACAAAATCATATTAATTGCTGGTCAACCACTTTGCATATTTAATGAGCCATAATTTAATTGAAACCTTTTGAATTTTCTCCTTCTCAGTACTTCCTTTTCTTTTGTCATTCTTTATGATTTGATGTGTCATGGCATTATTTGCAATGAAAGCTTGGGGTTCCATAGATACTTGTCATCTTTTATTTTCTTCTATTAAAAGGTGCTGTTCCCCAATGCACCTCCGAAGGGTTGGTTTTGTGGATTTTCCCAAACAAAATTAGAGTTATGGGAAGCCCCTGAATAATTGATATTCTTGTTGGAATCTTAGTTAATTTTTACTATATGTTAATCCTAATCCTGTTGGTGGGAGTGGCTGTTGGCCATGGAGAGGGGTTCATGGCAGAGGGTTAGTTTTGTGATTTGGCTGTGGCTATGGTAATGGCAATGGAAATGGAGTTTTGGGAAAAGATGAGAGAGAGAGAGAGAGAGGTGGCATTGGAGATGGGATCTGTGAGTGGTTAATCCTAATCCTATGGGCCCTCACTCGCTCCAAAACCTCGGCAATGACAGTTTTATTGGCAATCCTAGCTGAAAATGGTTGTCAGAAAATTGAAAATTCCTTTTAGAATTTCTGAGTTGCTTGTTTTTGACTTAACCCTTTTTTTTTAATAATTTATTTCCAGGATTGTTATTCTTCTCTTACATGGTAGAAGACAAGAGTGCCAACGGTCTCTCTTATGTCGAGTTTTTGGTACATATCCACCGTCAGATTCAAAATAAAATGACTTGATAGTTTGCACCTCAAGTTTAATCTACATTTTTGGATAGCGGTTTTGTGGAGGCACCCTCAGAAATCAAGGCAAAAGGAAGCAAAATTTGATGCGGGCAGTCGCTGGATCGGCTGTATGGAATTAATTGTTTTATTGGTGACAAAGAAAGCTGAGCACAATTTTGCAATAAGAGGTTTGTTAATTTTAGTGTAGTGATAAGATTTGAGAAAGTTCAGGGTTGGTATAACATGGCATACATTATCTATATGTTTTCTTGGTACTCTTTTTTTTTTTTTTTTTTTTTTTTTTTTTTTTTTTTTTTTTTTTTTTTTTTTTTAGATTGGGTTTTTTTTGTTCTTGTTTACTGTAGAACAGGGAAACAAAATGTATAAACAAGTTGTCAATCAAATGGGCTGGTAGTACATGTATTTTTATGATGGAATTATGCTCTCTCAAAACCAATCATTACAATTTAGGTAAAAATTAGATTAATTTAGAGTCAATTTTGGTTAAAATGATAGATTTACGCTGTGTTTGGTTGGGGGATTTGGGGAGGGATTTGGAAAGGGAAAGGGAAAAGGTGTGTGAAACTATGTGAAATGTAGGCATGTTTTTTTCACATTTCACCTACCTTTTCCATTTCTCTTTTCAAATCCCTCCTCAAATCCCTCAAGAGTTTCAGGGTAAATTTAAGATTGTGATTTTTTTTTTTTTTTTTTTTTTTTTTTTTTTTTTTTTAAGGAATATCGGCTTTTTGTAATTGTAGTGTTCTTGTAGTTTTAGTGTTCAGCATTTCAATTATGCTGATTTAATATTTGTTAAAATGGTCCCCATCAATGACACCATCGGTATTCATTATCAAATTCAAGAATATTTTTCGAACAAAAAAGTACTACAAAAATTATCTTTACCAATTAATGTAGAACTTTATTTTTTTGATGGTATAATTTTTTTATTTCAAAAGTATTATCGATTCTGGCATAATATATATATTTTTTTTGAGGTGTATTCTGACAGAATATTGGCAGCATCAGAACAGATCTCTTTGACGCTCACAAGTGTTGTAATTAAAATGTTAGATACTAAAGATCTGTTTAACGCTCCTTTAGGGGTAATTTGAAAAGTTAGTAAAAAGTTAATTTTTAATTTTTGAGTTCTTTTTGAGTTATATTATTTTTCATATTTTTTGTACATAAAATGATAAAAAAGTTTTTAAAAAAAAAGTCAAAAAATTAGTTTTTAATTAACTTTTCAAGTCACTCCTTAATAGTTCGGGGACAAGTGTTGCAATTAAAATGTTAGATACTAAAACAAGGTAAATTATATATATATATATATATATTTTATTTTAAAGATAAAAAATGTGTAATTAACCAAAATTTTGAATTTGTTTTTTAATTATTTTCTCAATGTCTGCTATTGATTGATGTATTTTTTTTTAGATAGTGTCTGTGATTGATGTATTAAACCATGCAACATTTGCCATAAATTTTATGCAAAAAATTAGGACCCTTTTTCCATGTAATATGAGTCAACAAAGCACAATTTTTCTCAATCAGAATATATTCAGTTATTTAATTCTTTAATTTGGTGAGAAAACACAACCTTTTTCTTATCCTTGGTTTATTTGCTTAACTTCTTAAATGATTTTAGATAAGAATATAACTAACATATTACTTGTGTTATGTGCAGGTATAAATAAATAATTAAAAATTAATTTTAAATTAAAATAATAATATAAAATTTACTTAAAATATGTAGTAAAAATAATTTATAATAAATTAAATTTTATTTATTTTTACCAGAGTTATGCATAAGATAAAATTTTTATTCTTATGTCATTAATTGTGTATTCTAAGTTCTTAACAAAAAATTTCATATCATAATTTAATTAGTAAAAATTAAAGAATAAATTACAAAAATTATATTGATGATAAATTATAAGTACATTTCATTTTATAAGTTTCGTAATTTTAATTTCCTATATGATAGTAGTAAATTACATTTGTTAATATACTAATTTTTATTTATTTAATTTGTAAAGCTTAAAAATCAATTATGATTGACTTATGATGTTGGACTAAACATTAGAAGTGACCTAAAAACTACTCGTCTCAATATTTATGCTAATGTGACCTAATTAAAAATAAATTTCAATCATTATTATATGGAGATACATGTGATAAGAATTTATAGTACACAATTTTTACAAAATAATATTAATTCAAAATTTTCAGTATGGAAAATATGTACCCAACTTTATGTTATGTTTGATTCATAGATTGGGGTAGGAATTTGAAATGAGAAAGAAAAAATATAAGTGAAATGTGATTGAAATATAATTACATTTTACTTAATTTTATACACCTTTTCATTTTCCCTTTCAAAATTTCTACCCAAAACTATGAACCAAACACATCATATATGTTGAAAGGAGTGTTGGATACTTTATTGTATTGATATACACTATCTAAAAAAAACCTATATAATATTTGATGGGAGAAGTAAATTCTTAAAATAGATCATCAATTATATTATAAGGAAATAAAAGCTAACCGATAAAAGATTTTTTAATTATTTAAAAAATTAAATATCAAGAGAAATAATCTATAGAAGATGTAAATTGATCTCTATATTGTAGTGGTACAAAAACTAAATTTTAAAATTGATCCTTTTAAAATTTTAAAATTTAAATTTTTAAATGGATTAATAAATTTTCTTTTTGAAATGTATAAATCAAGGCATAATAAGATTTTTTTTTAAGTGATTCAATAAAAGCTAAAAGATTTTTTATTTTTTATTTTTATAATTTAAAACTGATTAGTTAACTTTCCTTTTCAAATTTTTAAATTTAAATTTACAAATGAATTAATTAACTTTCTTTTGAAATGTGTAAATCAAGATATAATAAGATTTATTTAAATGATTCAATAAAAGTTAGAAGATTTTTTAAAAATTTTAAAACTGGTTAGTTAATTTTCCTTTTCAAATTTCTAAATTTAAAGTTATAAATGGATTAATCAACTTTTCTTTTCAGATGTGTGAATTAAGGCATAATAAGATTTTTTTTAATGATTCAATAAAAGTTAGCCAATAATTTTTTTTTAATTATTTAAAAAATAAGAATTCTAAAAAAATAGTATGAAAATTTTGAATTTCGCAAGACTCTTCTCATTAAAAATCTCTTTTTTTCTTAATATATCTAGTATGAATGATTATTTTTGGTTCTTCTAACAAAATAATTATTCTATTAAATTGGTGAAAGATAATTTATTCCAGCCTTTATTCATTAACTTGACAGCACTAAATTCATTCCTCGTCAGTAATTAATTGCGCAAACAAGGATTTCTCTAGCTTTTTGAGGTTTGACACCACTACTTTTTATTCCTTGTCTTTAATTAAATCTATTGAGTGTGAATGAGAAGCAATGGTGATTAGTAGTTCTAAAAGTAAAATTTTAAACAGAGTTTTATTGAGTTGGCACCTTTAAAAAAAAAAAAATTAAGTCAAAATATCACATTAAGGTGGGACCCACACCATTACCACCTCATTAGAGCAGTTCTAGAATTCTGAAACATTTTTTGAATATGAAAATAAGGACATTGCTTACACGAGAGTTTGAAAATAAGAACAAATAAGGACATTGCTTACACGAGAGTTTGAAAATAAGAACAAATAAGGACATTGTTTAAAACAAGGGTATTGAAAATAGTAATTGGTAGAAAATAAGGACATTTGTACACGGGACCACCTAATAATTTTTCTCTCCTCTCACCACCATAGTTAATTAGAAAAAATTATTGAATAGTACTTAGAGTATTATATATCGTTACTTACATAATACTCATGGCTAATAGAAAATCACAACACACAAAAACAGGCTGTTCATTATTTCTTAACTAGTTAATATGGTAGATCAATATTACTTTGTTGGTAAAATTTTTTACTTCAATATTGGTTAAGAGCGCTCTAAAAATAATGTCACATCATATTTCAAGATCACTCGATAATTGTTTAATAGTCCTTTGTTTATATGGTGTTCCAAATCAATCGTAAATTTTTTTACAAGTGAGACATTCTAACTTAGTTGATAATTAAATATGTGTGATATAAAGAGTAACAAATTTAGAGGGATAATTAATCAGTGACCAATGATGTATTGGAAAATTTTATAAGTAAAACATATAAGTTGTTCCGTAGTAGTTGAAAACAAAGAACGACTAATCTAGTGTATATAGCAATTTCTTGTTAGTCGGAAATACTACACAAACAATATCATATAATATTATTCTTAATGTTTCATCATATACGTAATGTTATGATGCATACCTTTTATCATATGTAAGTTATGACATTTATGGATTTGATTTTCATAAATGTCATAACTCAATCTTATGGGAGTTATAACTAAAAATAATAATTTATAATCAAACACTACATAGAATATAGGAAAATGTTTAGGAGCTTTAGAAAAAGACTTCTAATAGCTTTAATGTATGTGTGGGTCTCATTTGATGTGATGCTTTGGCTTTGTGTTTTTTCTTTCCACATCATTAGAGCTTAATTAAAGTTCTAATTTTAGAAGGATAAATCACAACTATAAAATATAATCAAAAAACTATTGGATTATAACTTATGGGGAAGAAAAAAATGAGCTATAACCAAACAGTATATAAGGTATAAACCAAAGAGCTCTTAAATTATAATCAAAATAATATCGTACTTAATATCATAATAAGTCATAACTAATATCACAATAAATTCTAATCAACGTTTAAGAAGGTAATCAATAAATTTTATTTTATAATAATCCAATAACATCTAATAATTTATCAGACTAAGGACATATTCGAGCAGCAATAAAGTGCGCGAATAAAGTTTACATAATATTATTCTGCCTTCAATTTCATATCTATATCTATCTAAAAGTACATATTATTATATTATTGTCTCCTAATAAAGTTCACATACTATTTTATTCCATTATATAAATAGCATAAACTATAGTGCTAGTAGTTTAACTAATTTAACAGAATTGAAGGGGCAGTTAATCGGCAGTTAAAATGAAGATTAAGCTACCTAAATGTAGAGGAAGAGGTGATGATGAGTCTGAAGAAGAAGAAGAAGACGGTGGTGAAGAGTTGACGGTTGATGAAGAGCTTCAGGGCTCTATCAGAAAATCGTCATGGAAGAGTCGACTCAGCTTCGTCGGGCTGTTCCGAACTGAGTCCGGTGGTGAGTTGACTCGGGGTACTGCCAGTGGGAGAGACTTGGCTACAAATGGATCCTCCACCACCACCACCACCACCACCACCCCACCAGGATATATTCATCCCCATAATTGGTACCCTCTCTCCCTCTATTTCTCTCTCCCTATCTCATACTTATTTGCTGATGTAAATATTTGTGGGTATCAGATCTGAAACAGTATCAGTGATACGGCTGATATCGAAAAGTAATGAATAATATTAGCTGATATATTAATAAATAATAGTGAGCTAAAGACCTGTTGCGTAGCGGATGATATTTAAAATCTGTGTCCGTACAAGCATTGCATGGGCTAAAAAAATAATTTATTCTTACATAAAATTTATATAAAAAATTTAGAAAAATAATATAATAATGTTACTATTATAAATAAATAAATATAGAGAGTTATTATTTTCACTCCACTTTATTTCAAATACACTTAATTTTTTTATCTTTATTATACATAGTTACTATTTTCATTCCACTTGGGTATTTGAAATGATCTAAATAAGTATATTTTTTAACTTTTTACGAAAAGATGAACAGAAAAGTAGAGAGATAATGTGACTCAAATAAGTGCAATTATATAGGTTATGTCAAACATCAAATACACTCTTTTTTATGTATAATAAGAACACAAAAGATAGTGTATTTGGAGTAAAATAGATTGAAAATAGCGGCTCTTTAAATCTATCTTTATTATACATAGTTACTATTTTCATTCCACTTGGGTATTTGAAATGATCTAAATAAGTATATTTTTTAACTTTTTACGAAAAGATGAACAGAAAAGTAGAGAGATAATGTGACTCAAATAAGTACAATTATATAGGTTATGTCAAACATCAAATACACTCTTTTTTATGTATGATAAGAACACAAAGGATAGTGTATTTGGAGTAAAATAGATTGAAAATAGCGGCTCTCTAAATCTATTTTTAATAGTGTTTTGTTTTGAAATAAAATATCTGAACTATGTCATTATGTATAATTTTTTTTTATTTATGTAACATTACTATGAAATAATGTTATTCAAATGGGAAATACTATAATTTATAATATTATATTTCTCCAACTATAACTAATTAATTTGTATTTAATCATTAGTTTAGGGTAAATTACACTCATTTTTCTTGATATTTGAAAAAATTATAGTTATTCTCATATTTTTAACATAATTACATTAATTTTATTTTTAATAAGATTAAAATGACTGAACATAATGACTGAAATAAAATAAAGATAAATACATATTTTATTAAAAAAGAAATTAAAACCTCAAAGAAAATCAATGCAATTATGTAAAAAAAATGGAATTAATTGTAATTTTCCCAAACCTTTGGACCTTTATTTTAAGAGGGTTTGATTGTTAATTTTTTTTCTTGTAATAAATTGTTTTCAAAAAATTTAGTGTCTGTTTGGTTTGATTTTTCAAAAATTATTTTTAGTTGAGTTTTATTTATTTTTTGTGAATTTTTTTTATATTTAATCATTTTTTAATATTTTTTAGATGTACCTAATCAAGATACATTTGAAAAAATTAAATAAATTGACTAAAATATATTTAAAAATAAATAAAAATTAAAAAAAAACATCAGTATGCATTTTTGTTTGTTTTTAATGATTTGTTTTTTATATTTTAGTTAAATTTTTATTTTTATTTTTTAGGTACATCTAATCCTGATATATCTAAAATATAATAATAATTAAAATATGAAAAAAAAAAAAAAAAAAAAACATTTAAAGAAAAACAAAAAAAAAAAGGGTTAAAAATAGTTTCTTAAAATGTAAACCAAACAAAGCCTTATATGTTTCAGTTTCAGTTATACTTGTTGTCCTACCTACCATTGATCTCCTCCATGACAGTTTAGGTGTGGGAGTGAGTGTGCAGGTGGTACCAGGTATGGACGCAATTCATTCTGCTATGGGCAATCTACTCTTCCTTCTTCACTCCATTGGAGTTCGGCTTCTTCAGAGGTCTCCCCGAGAATCTCTTCCTCCTCGACATCGCCGGCCAATTCGCCTTCCTCATCGACATCTTTGTCCGCTTCTTTGTCTCCTACTCCGACCCCCACTCTCGCCGCATGGTTTACAATCGCAAGCTCATTGCCATTCGGTTTCTCTCTTCTTCTTCTTCTTCTTCTTCTTCCATTTCTATTTCAATAATTGACTCTTTGGTTATGTATGTCTCATCATCAGGTACTTCAAATCTCGCTTTCTTGTTGATTTTCTGGGTTGCTGCCCTTGGGATGCTATCTACAGGGTACTCCACTCTTTGGCTACCTTTGGATTTATGGATTTGAAATGAATGGATTTGACATCAATAATATTTTAGATGTAGATATCAATAATGAATTTGTGAGCTTTATGATGATGTCCATAAAAGATTCTATTTGCACAAAGATCTTAACAAAATACATGAAACATACTTCTATTCAATCCTCCGCTTTGAAGTTATCATCTTCCTTCAATAACTAATCTTCTTGTAACAATTTTATAAATTCCAACCTTATATCCCTTTGTAAAACAAAGTATAAACGCAGCGAATGAAAAATTACCGTCATATCTTTTTTTGCAGAGTCTGAATTGAAGGATCTCGTGGCTAAATCACGTGCTTCCTGAATCTGATCAATCAACCCAGCAATGGAGTAATATTACAGAATGAATATTACCCACACAAGTCACAGTGCAAAATGACTCTTGATCGTTGTATTTTGGGAGAGAGTCAGTATATATGGAAAAAGCATACGACATACGTTGTTTTTCTCGTAATCACCCATATCCCATATCATATTAGATATATAGGATAATATCTCATCTATCCATATCAGTTGATATGATAGATATGGATATCCTAAGTGGTTATCCAAGTAAGTTTTGAATTCAAATTCAAACTTACATGGATAAGGTTCAAAAGGTTCAAAGGGTTATGCCACATGGGCGCCCAATTTCTAACATCTCCCACTCGGACATGAGTTGGCATGACACTGCCACATCTCTATCTCAATCTCCCAAAAAAAATGAACAATCTCATACTAGCCACTGCACCGTGCGACTGCTGAGAACACCTGCATATGGGAGCTCTATACTAAAAACTCAAAATGAGCCAACATAGAGACATCAACGCAAAAAGAACAGAAATAGTGCCTCATATACTCCAGACCCATCTAATTACACCGGTCCAAAAAAAACATCTCTAATCCCTCAAAAAGAGCATGTTTGACCCTCTCAATTCTTACAATATATTCACACTCAATCCGCCTCTCATACAGAGCGATGTGAGTTGCCGGCAGTGAATATACAACAGTGGTGTAATACTAGATGATCTTCCATTTGCCCTCATGCCATTTAGTTTAGGATTGACCGCTTTCCTAATGATGTCCCTTAAGGCCGAATCTGTCACGACCCAAACCCGGCCCTATGGGTTTAGCACCGTAACCGGCCAGTAATCCGAGATTACCGAAGGCCTGCTTAACAGTAATACAGTAATACAGAGTACAGGGGCTGGCGGAAGCCAGTACAGTAAATAGACAATGTCCAATGAGCTGTGACAGTCTGTATGCATCTGAATCACTGCCAAAAAAGATTTTATTCACTGTTTTCATTCACCATATACAATACAGCGACAGTCTATTAACTCATAAATCTGTTACAGTCTCTTATCAGATACAAGGGACCTAATATCCCTTGATAACAGTACGGTTAGCTAAACCAGTCATACAGTAAAACCAAACCAGTACGGAGACAAACGGGGGAAAAACACAAACTATCACCAAAAGCCAGTAAACATCGGCAACTCGGAAACCTCTCGCAGTGATGTGCACAAAGGCTGAGTGCTTGACAAAAAACTGGAGTCTTATACCCACGCTCCTAGACTCACTTTCGACACTTACTTTGTATTGGCTCTGCGGCC